CAGGACTACATCAAGGGAGGGATTGCACCTGAATCTAGTGGGCAGAAGCATTTTCCCTAGGGTCTGAATGCAAGCGTAGAGAACAGTGTTGTTTGAGGGACCTGCATATCAGAGGGGCAGAAGTAGCACAGAAGACTGAGGAAGACAGTATAACCTTAACAGAATGCCTGCAGAGCTTTGGGACAAAAGCCAGTTGGAAAGAAACTTCTTGATTCCTTCTGTTGGACCTTTTTTTTTTTTTTTTTTTTTTTTTTTGAACAAGCAGGCTTGCACCACACTTCGCCTCCCAGCAAAAACAATCGCTACAACCCTAAACATTGACTAATCTGTCAAAAGGGATAACGACCTTATTTTGACTTCTAACTCAAAAATGAAGGTTATAATTCTTCTTTGCCATTTTTCCCTGCCATGGAGAAGGATTTTCTAAATAGTAACCAGGCAGAGATGGATGAAAGCTGCCGATACCTGACTGACTCTGCAGTTCCAAAACATCGGTTGAGATTTGTGCTTTTGCCATGGAGTCTTTTTTCTTGAAATGGGACTCGCAGTGAAAATCACATGCATTGGATTGCATTTTAGTTGTGCATAGGGAGTGCTTTTTAGAGAACACCTATCAAAACTACTTGGCAAAGACTTTTTTTTTTCTCTACTGCATGATGTGGGTTGTGCAAGGTCATAGCAGGAAATAGCATGGGCCCATAGCGTGGTCCCAGTCCTTCACCTACCCCACCTACCCCACAGGAGCATTACAGGTGATCGTGTATCACACCAGCTTTCACCAGTCTCTGTAAGTTCCTCATGATTCTTGGACAGCAGATTGTAGGACAGCACTGAAGGAAACCGGTTGTTCCTGTAGTACCAACCAAATATTCTTTTTGAAGGGAAGCACCACCTTACCTGCCTTGCTGTGGAGTATTGCTCATTTTGCTCGGACCTTCCTGGCCCCCACCTTTAAAGTTTTCAGGACTTTAGTTACCTTTTTTCTGCTGACTAGAACTGAATAAACATCCCGCAGAGACCACAGCACACCACCAGCCACGTCTCCTCTTTGTTCCCCAGGCAGCCTGACGCTACTCACCTGGCCTACCAGCTCCCTTTCCCTGGCTGTTGTCTTCAGAGGCACCTGGAGAAGATGAAATGAGGTGGACTTATTCTGCAGCTTCTCCATCTCTTCCATTTGTTCATTCATTGGTATTGAATCTTTAGGTTGCTGGTGCTATTTAATGGCCACAAACTCACGAAAGTCTCACTATGCGGCATCACCACAATCACAGCTCAAGTGAATGCTTCCACTTATTAGCAAGTCTCTAAGATGAAATGGACCAGGAGCAACAGCATCATTAATAGAAGAAGATTAGTGTTGGCTTTAGCTGTGTTTCATGTCTTCATCTTGTCTCCATTATATCCTTGTTTAAGTCTGGTTCTGGCAATGAACTTTCTCTGGTAATTTACAGCTCAGCTCCTAGGGTCTGTGCAGCTTTCAGCAGGTTTTAATTCTTCAGGGGAAGGGTGGTCTTTGGCAGTGTTTGGTGTCATATTGTTAATGGCCATCCTGTATGACAAATAGTAGATGTCTGCAAGATGTAAATAGCCCAGTTCACCTTTCTTCTCTGTTCCTTGATTTTTCACTCTTTCTTTAGTGTTTCTCACATCATCATTTCGTTTGTACTCCAAACCTGTGCTGTCTTTCCAAAAAAGCAATACCTGGAGTCCTACTACAAAGTGCAAACAGATCCTTTCATGCCTTAAATTCATTAAAAATCCTCCTAACAACAAAAAGAAAAAAAAAAAAGATTTATTTGCAGGGCTTTTTCCCAGACTTCTGCATGGAGTTTGGCAAAGACATTATGTAATAGCTAAATCTTCATTAGTTATATCTGTTTGCTTTGTGCCTTCGTGACAATGATGAATGCTGTAAATAAGTATACTGTCCCATCTTAACAAGAATAGCGTATCCATCAATAAGGACACTTACTGTGTTGAGATCTTTGCAAGGCTCTACAGGGGAGTAAATTAAAGGGAGAATAACATCCTTCATCTAAAGTGTCCTTGTTTTGTCACTTAATGTTTCACCCTTACTAATATCTTTCAAAGTCTGGCTCTTAGTCAGAAAAGTCACTCAGTAAATATGACACATTTTATCCAGCCTAAATCTATTCAGTACTAGAATGATTTTTCTAGGCAGCCACGGCTGCAAGTATAACCTGAAATTCTGCCTGTGGCTTCTCTCTTTAATTTATCAGCAGCCACAGAAGCTTCTCAGTAGGGTGAGTGAGGCAGGAAGGGGTATCCAGAGCAGTCACTGCCACTCAGCTGTATGAGGAGCTGCTAACCCTTGTTTAGGCCAGCAGATGAGTGAATCTGAGTAAAAGGCAGACGGGATGAGGCTCTGCTCTCAGTAACATTCATTTCAGCCTAGAATGATTTGATTGGTAACACCACGCTTAGCCCAAGGCGTCTCCACTCAGCAACTATCTCAGTTATGCACAGCAAAACTATATGTTTACTTGTAACTGCACTGTATTTCAAGGACATCCTTAATCTATAACAGATTATAGGATCATAGGTCCACAGTGTTCAGACAAGAGCTACAAGTGATCTTCTGGGTTTAGTGAGGAGGGGGAAAGCATGGGTCTGTGCCACTTTTGTGACAGGTCCATGCTCACAGCTGCCTACCAAGCAGAGGACCTAGAGACAGCATATCCACCGTAAACCCATTTGCCTTTGTACCAGCATCGTGGCATCAATGCTGAGCAGAGACATCAGCCACAGGCTCTTCCCCTGCCATGGGAGCGGACACAAATCGTCTCCGACATATGGAACTATGAGCTTTCCACCTGATGTGATGGGCACAAAAGTTGGATAAAGGAGCCTGTTAAGGTGAGGGACTGAGGTTTCCACCAAAATCAGCATGTTCCCTATGGCATGGCTGTTCTGCACAGCTTTTATACTACTGCTTTCAGCACAGTTGTTTCTCACTCACCCCAGTGTAAAAAAAAAAAAAAAAAAAAAAAAAAAAAAAAAAAAAAAAAAAAAGAAAGAAATAGAAAGAGAATTGAAGTGGTAGACTTGCTCCAGGTTTATGGGACAGAGCAGGAGCGCAAATCAGAGTGTGGCCTGCAGAGGGAAGGAAAGAGCTGTGGTAGCAATCGCAGTGGTCTCCTGGGTGCCTGGTCCTCTTCCCTCTATTTCTGCTCCCTATCAAGCTATTCCTCAGGAGCAGACTCTGGTCTGAATAGCTTGCATTTAAGTTTTAGATATATTTAAAATCCATTCATATCAAACCCGAATTAAACTCCTGGATTTTATTCAAGAGTCATTCCCTCTGAGAAAGGACTGAGAAGAAAATAATGGTGAATGCCTCGCCCATCCAGTATGCACAAAAAAATCTCCTCAGGAGGTAAGAAGAGAGGCTTGACTATTGTCTTGCCTCATTGCATTGTTATCTTTATATAGGCGAATTTCTCAATCCATTTAGAAATTCACTAATTGTCATTGGAGCTATTTGCTGACGACTGTGAAGTAGCTTCATAATGAAGAGGAAGTCCATTTATTTGTTAACATTTGCAAAAATAATTGCCTGTCACTTAACCGAACATCCCTTGCCCCAGAAACACTTGCTCTTCAGCACTTTTTTTTGAGCAGCACTCTTCAAAACGCCACTTATAATTTCCAGTCCCTCAAGGGCTCATTCTCAGCTGCTGTGACATGAGTCAGAAAACAAACTCCACAAGAGGACACTAAATGTCCTGTCAGTTTTGCTGCAACAAGAGAAGAGCATATTAATAGAGCAGCATTGCCGTACTCCAGGAGGCCTCTGGCAGTTGCGTTGCAGCTCCAAGATACTGCTTAAAACTTGTGGGGGGAGCGCGAGTTAAGAGACTGCGACTACACTGCTGCCTGCCCTGCTCCTCTGCTGGACGTTGCGACAGCAGTGGAAGAGGTCTTGCCTGCAGGGCCCAGCAGCCACAGGGCCACCTCTTGGTGGCTGCCTGAGGAGATGGGTGCATGGGGTAGTCCTGGCCCCACTGTCTGAGTCAGAAGCTTTCTTCTGCCTCTCCTCTTCTAGTTTTGCAAGAGGAGCAAAAGAGAGACAAAATGAAGCCAGGCTGGGTGTGCAGGACAGATGCCAGGGAGTGAGTCCTGAAACAAGGAGGAAAGGTTTGGGGGAGGTAGAGGAGAGAAAGGTGTCTCGGGGGGGAGTGGGCAAGGGATGGAGACTGGTATTCCTCATCTCAGCATAGCCCTCTGCCCACTATACCTATCGGTATAGACAACACCTCTACCAGCTCCATTTCGTGCCTCAGTGAAACTCTGGGAGTGCTTTATCCTTTACATGTAGCAAAACACTCCTCCCCACTAGACACAGCATTTCCTCTGCCGTCCCCAGTACTCCCACCAACAGGCATAAAATAAGTCAACTTATCAACTAACCAGTTTTGAGGAAGCAAAATTCAGCTTTTTTATACTACTGAGAAGCTTTGAGGTGCTCTGACTGCCAGGGAAGACAGGTTTGCATCAACAAGATGGACAGGTAACCAGAGAGCATCTGAGGTCCCTTGCCAAGCCCCCTAGAGATAAGTTGCCATTGCAGATAACTCCCCTAAAATCAATAGAGATGTGCCTATTTACACCAGCTGGTCTTCTGCCACTGTAATGCTTTTCACTCCAATGATTGCACCATTGTATGCAAGCTGTGTTGAATTTTTATTGCTTCTGAGGCATGTGAAATCCCCCCTCCACCCGATCCGTTCCACAGGGCAAGGAGCACCACATCTCCTCGGGGTGGATGGCTGCCAATATTGACTTAAGAGCAAGGCGAGCCAGGGAGTGTGAGATAAATGCCACTGTCAGAAAAAGTTAAGCAGAGCCGCACTTCTCCCCAGGGTGCGCCATGAGCCGCGCGTCTCACCTGGGGCTCTGGCACCACAGAAGGTCAGCACCCAGGGCCGAGGACGCCTTGCACCTTGGGCTTGCATCATCCACTCAGCAGCAGTGGGCAGGGACAGTGCTGGGAGGTGGGTGACAGCTGTGTCCCAGGGAGAAGCGCAGGAGGAGCATGCCTTTGCGCCAGCCCTGAGGAGCAGGCTTGGAGCACACCTGCCCTGCTGGCACCAGGGAGAGGAAGGCCACAAGACTGCAGAGCAACGAAGCAGGACACCACCGCGGACAGGCTCAGGTATTGGGTGCGTCTGTGGCACAGCCACCGCATTCCTACCCTACTGCACCAGCAATGGCACTGGCCCCGTGGCTTAGGTGAACTCGTCAGTGTGATAATATTTGTAAGGGTCCTGCGGGCACAAGCCAATGTCCTCCTAGGGGACTCAGGAAACTCATGGTGTTTTACAGCTACTGGGAGTGGGATTATTAGATTTACTTACTTTTTAGGGTTGTCACTGTTGCAAGTGTCTGCAAGTGTTAATTTTCACTGGTGCAGTGTCTCAGCTTTATGGGATGAAAGGAGCTGGGTTGAGTAAGTATTTTGGGTTGGGTTCCCTGCGGAGGGCTAGATTCCTGGTTTGAATGGACTGGAGACACTGGTTTTGTTTGCTTCTTGTGCAGGAATTTGATGCATTTCAAGATTAGGTGACTGTCTTTTTGCTTTTGGGTGCTGCAGGGTTAAGAGGGAAGTGTGTGGGTGAGTGTAAATCAGCTCTGTGCACTGAGAGCTGCCTGTTTACACTAGGGGATTTAGATTTCCAGATATTTAATTTCTGGTAACTGTACTTCAGCTTATTGAAACAGTTCAATCTCGGAAAGCCTCTTGTGGATAATGAGACTATGGGGAGGCGCTGCTCCCAGAGAGCCTCAGACCTGGGAGGGGGGGTGGACAAAGGCCTCGCTTTAGCAATGCAATTAATTAGCAAGTCGGTAGCCAGCATTTGTAAGAAAATTCATTGCAAAAACTTTAAGAGAGATGCTGGGAGAGATGGAAATGAAACAAAATGAAAGAAAGGCTTTGATGCTTCCCTTGAAACAAAGAGCAAATGAAACTCATATCAGTTTGAAAAGTCACACATGATATTTCACAGGTGGAGGACCACAGATGGTAGCGAGGGAGGTTTGTGGGGCTGGAGATGGTTCTGCTTTGAGGACCACAGGGACTGCCTAGGGAAAGCTTGTGCCTTACAGCTAGCTTTCTCACTGCTTTGCAATCCTGGTAGGAGCTCTGGCACACGATCCTCTCAAAGCTGTCAGAACAAGGGAGCAGTGGGGCAGCATGACCCACATAGCAGCCCACATAGCAGCCCGAGGCAACCATGATTCAAAGGCCTGGTGGTGTCAAGGAGAGCTGAGTTGGTGCAGGAGGTTGCCCACTGCAGATCAAGCGGGATGGGTCTGCCAACCTTGTCCCCAGACCAGGTTGGCACCCTTAGAGCTGAGGACCCCATCCCACATTGTCAGGTATGAAATAGCTGCAGGCAGGGGTAATGCAAGGACCTTTCCAGCCAGGACAGAGCATTGCAGAAACAAGACAGGGTAGCAGGAGCAGTTTCCCCACGCCACAGAGCTGCAAGGCTTCATAGGAAGATCCTGTAGAGCAGGGGATACCAGTCTAAATCTTCTAAGAGAGCAAGAAAATGCTGTTTGCTCATGCTGTCACTGGCTTTGTTTTCCCAAAAGTGACAATAATGTCTCCAGCGTGCTGAGACATCACAAAGGAGTGCATACCTTGGAGAGTCATTGTACTTGGATCAATGGCTGAGATTGAACTAGGGCCCTTACAGGCAGGGAACTTGCCTCGCTCAGATTGCTGGTTCTCCAGGAGAGCCAGACGCTCTCCTCCCATAAGTCAGATTTTATCATCTCTAGCAATGGGCTGGGAGAAATGCTGGTGACTGAGCTCTTGAAGGCCCTGGGGAGGCCATAAGTGTTAGCCTTTGCCAGGCCTTCTTGGATGAATGAGGATGTTTGAGTTTTGGGGGCTGGTACCAGGGTGAAGATAATTCTATATGTGCTCTAAGTCTTTTCCTCTTTCTCTTAGCATCCAGCTAGAGCTCTTCATGGCTTCTTTTCTGACAGGCCCCAGTGCAAACCCCGCTGTGCCTGCCATGGTGGCAGCCCCCAGGCAAACATCTCACAAGGAAATCTGTTGTAGCTTCCAGCTCTGTCTGCTAGCTCGCTTTGGGAGTACACCTGCCCCATTGCTGTGTCTTCTCCTACTGCAGTATCCCCTCTGTAGTAGCGCTTATGAGATGCCTCTGGCACATTCATGATCTCCTTGGTGCTACTGCAGGTGGGGAAAATGAGGCTGTCTTGGAGGGGCATTCACAGCACGACACGGATCTGTCAAGGAGAAAAGTAGTTCCTTCTCAGCCAGCAGAGAGAGAAGGAGAGATATCTCCAGAGGCTGACCAGAGCCAGCCATGATATGAAAATGCTTGTCTTTATAAACCAAGGAGGAACAGAGGCTGCAGACCCATGTGGCATTGGTGGTGGTGTTGGGATCCAAAAACTGGGTGAGGTAAATGCCTTTTAGCATGCTTAAGAACCACCCTGGGAAGCCTGGTCTATGCCTGTGCGACAGTCTGGCTCTTAGAGTACATGGGTTATGACCAGCAGTTCAAGTGCCCGCAGGAATATCCTGGACACCTCCTGTCCCCTCCAAACAAGGCCAGAGGGCAGAGGGAGGTGGAGGAATGGGTCCTGCCTGATTCCAAGCAGTAGGAGGCGGAGAAGGGTGAGATGTTCCCGCACAGCTGGGAAGCGGCTCCACTGTGCCACGTGGCTGACAGTGCTTCTAGGACAGGCAGGAGGAACTGGAGTTACCAGTTTGCTGCTGTGCAAATTGAGGGAAGAGGTCCCCTCCTACCTTCCCTGCCTGTGCCCATGGCAGCTGCTGCTTCTGGTGCACTTCTATCACATAGGGGCCTTGGCTGCGGTCCTGCTTCTCACACAAGCACCTTAACTCCCTCGCTGCTGGCTCTGGAGGTGCCAGGAAGCCTGCTGATAAAACTTAGCTGTTTCCTCTGTTGTGGTTCCTCCCTTTGCTACCCACAAAGTGAAAATATTCACCTTAACACAGCTCCCCTTCTGCTGATGGACTGCCGTGGGTCACTTTGCAGCACAGCGTATCCCTGAGCTGTAGCATGAGGCTGTGAAGGAGGCAACACACGGCAGGCCTGAGTGAGGACAGGGGCACCAGTGCCCTGCCACAGCTCTGTCCCTGGGCTGGTTGGGTCCCTATGAGCCTTGGCTTAGGGGTCTGGGTGTGGGTCCCAGGGTGGGATCTGCTTTCCAGCTGGTACCCTGCTCCAGGGTGAGGGCAGCGGCCAGCCCTGCGCCACGCACAGCAGCGGTGCTTGCATCCCCTGGGCTCTTCTCACCTTGGCTGCTGCTAAGGGCTCAGTTTGTCCTTCAGCTTTTGGTTACATTTTTTGGTTTACATTTTTTTTAACAGCAGCTATACTTTGATCCCAAAGTCCAAGATGCTCTTTGAGAGCAGTTCTCTGCAAATTCCAAACCTGGGGGCTTGCTCCCATTCCCACGGCATGGAAAGACTCATTCTGAGGGGCAACAGGCTAGAGCATCTTGCCTGGGATGGGGATTGGGAACAAAGACAGCTGGCAGTCCCCTCCAGCCCTTGGACTCATGATGTGTCTCTGTGCTGTATTTTGTGCCCAACAAGAACATTTAGAAATGTGAAAAGAAATGAACTACACAGTCAAGGATTTTTTGTCCTGGCTTTCACCATGAAGGGGAAAGTCTATGTAATGACGTCATGGACGTGCCTGCCATATGCTTTTGATTTATTTACTTGTCTTTACCTTTGAAGTTGACTAGAGGTTTTCAAGGTTTCTCCCTGCACACATGCAGGCTAGGAGCAGCTTTACTGTCTAGTGACGTCAGTGTCACTGAACCACAGGACTCTGGCACCTGGCGCTTTAAGGCAAATGCAAGCTAAACCAAAACTCGGAAAAGCAAAGTTTGCTGCAATAGGAGTTGAAATATACCTAACTGCCCACATTATGACAGCACCAAAGAGACCAACTGCAGATTAGCGTGAGATTGCACTAGGTGCTAAACAAACATAGAACAAAATGTCTATTTATTCCTCTAAGAGCTTCCAGTCTAAATGGACTGTGAGTATTTATTTCCACTAAGTATATGTGGACTCCTTTGTTCAGCTGGCCGTGGTCAGCAGATCCTGCACGAATAGAAATCTTAGCCAAGCATGGCCTGAAAACCCACACCCAGAAAAAAGAAAGACTCTCCTCTTAACTTAGTTCCTCTTAGGAGGAACTTTTGCTCCTAGGACACTACAGAGGAAGGTGATAGGAAACATGGAAGAACAAGCTAATTTGGTATTTACTCCTTTTCCACCCTAGTGGCTGTCCCAGATGGGTAAATGGGAAGCAGAGGGGACCACTGGTCAAAGGACAGAGAAGCCACTGGGATAGCAGCTCACACCCCAGAGCTGCAGGGAGGGCCTTGCTCATGAGCCGTGATCCCAAAGCTACGTTGGGGCATTAACCACAGGCCTGCCTGGCTCCCGCTTCCCACTCACACCTTCTCCGCCCTGTTAATTATTACAAGGAAACTGAAGGAGGCAAATGTGCACCAAAGTCCAGTGTGAAAGGGAAAATCAGCAGTTCATTCTCAGCCATGAGCCAGCCCACCCCAGCCGCCACGGAGCTGCCCACGCTGCCGGAGGAGACGAGTGCGCCCTTTGGGGTGGCCGACATCGTCGTTGTGGTTGTTTACTTCGCCTTTGTCCTCGCTGTCGGGATATGGGTGAGTCTCCAAGGTGACTGGGTTTAGCTCTACCTAAGCCAGAGCACCAGACTCGCACCAGGCCCCTCCTGCATGCAAAGGTATCTGCCTGCAAAGCTCCTGGTGTGTGCTCCATGCACGCCATTATCCCAGGCCCTACTGAGCAGGTTTGGGCGGTGGCAGTGATCTCCCTTTGAGCATTCATCCCTCCCCCACTTCCCCACATGCAGACAACTACGTGGTCATTCCTTGCATTTCCCCAAACGCTATTCGGGGGACGGGGGTCCACCTCCAGTGTTGCAACATAGTCTCCGACCAGGCTGTTGGCAGGCATGCAACAAGGGCAAGAGAAAAGCCCGGGTGGCGGGGAGGAAGACTATAATGAAACCTTAAAAAGATTGTTATTTGTTTTTCATTCTACTTGCTTTGTGAAGGCCCCTTTCTTAGACATCTACAGCGTTTTGGTTGCCTGAAGTGTTTTTCTCATTCCTAATGGGTACATTCAAGGAGAAATCATTAAGCAGACACAAGCAGCCTCCCTCCAAAGCTGGACTACCAGAACTCCGAATGAAGAGAGGCAGAAGCAGAGTGTAGCCTGGCACACCTAATAGATGCACTAAATAATTTCTGTAGCTGATGCTGAGACCAAACACACAAGCTTTTTCTGACTTGGTGGTAGTGCTGCTAACCAGTCCAGGTACTGCCATGCAGATTGGTGTTTTGCAGCAAAGCTGTCTATTACGGTGCCCAACTGCAAGGGCCTGATGACTGAAAACAGGAAGCACAGCCAACCTCAGTAACACCAGGGGGGCTTGCTAGCCTATGGCTGTCCTATGGCTCTTGAAATCCCTGCAGTTCCCATGCAGCCCCCAAATGGGGCTGAGTAACATGACCACAGGGCTCCTAGATAACTTGAATCCACAGCAATGGAAGGATAGTAGGCAGCAGGGGCTGCTGAAATGGGCAGTGCTAATCATCCTGGTGTGCAGCTGCATGCCCAAATTCATTCCTCATCAGGATCCTATGGGATACACGGTTTTCTCCTACTTCTAACCCTTGGGCCCCGCCCTCCATCATTTGGCTCTGAAGGTGTTTGCTAGGTTCTTGGCATCTCTGAGCCATATGAAGATTCGGGTCTGCAGCTCCAAGGAAAGCTGCCTACCTTCTAGTGAGAATATGAGTAAAGAGGAAGCATTTCCCTCATTGTGGTCCAGCTGTGCTGACTGGGCATGTTGGCCACTTCCCAGGGCCTGGTGCTGATGGTTCTTTCCCTCATGCTGGGGAGAGATCAAGCTCCTGCTCCTGCAGAGGCTTCACTCTGGTGCTGCTCTTTCTGGGGTCTCCAGAGCACTCAAGGTCTCCGCTTTGTCCTGAAAGGACATCAGGAATACCATGGTTTCCTTCCTCTAGCCTTATGAGAGAACAGTACCTGATCTTTCCTAGATATCAGCAATAAGATTGCTACTGCTATCCCAGAGGGTCTGCAAAGCAAAGATACAGCAGGCTCTCTCTGGACACAGGAGGGTGACGACTGTTGTGTCCCACCAGGCACTATGTTCAAAGGGCTCTGCCAAGGTCACCACCACCAGTACTGGAAAACCACAGCTTGGCCCATTCCCAGTCAACTCCACTACCTGACACCTGCACATACATGTCTCCTCCCATATCCAAGTGGGCAACTGAAAGAATGTAAGTCTTCAAAATCAGGTCCCATCCATGTGGGACCCTGCTTCAGCCTGCATTAGAGCCACCTACAAACTACCTTTCCATGCTGTTCTCAATAGGGGGTCCAATTGACTGCAATGGCACCTGAAGGAGCAGAACTGGGGTGGTGCAAGAGGCTGCTGACAGGATGTATCAAGGCTACTGGGATGGGTGTTGGGTCTGGCTTGAAGGTGGGTGAATGGAGGCAGACACTTACCTTTTTTTTATGTTTTTCAGTCATCCATACGAGCAAGCCGGGGGACCATTGGAGGCTATTTCCTGGCAGGACGATCCATGACCTGGTGGCCTGTGAGTGAACTGTTCCCTCTGTTTCTCTTAGTTTGAAAGCAATTATAGATCAAAGGCAGGCAAGTCTAGCAAGGGGATGTGGTTCATACCCTTTTGGACTATAGCCCTGAGACACAGGGGATCCACAAGAAATCATTCCATGCAGTTTTGCTAATGGGCTACAGCCTGGAGCTACGAGGCCAAAAAGTTCAGCATCTTCAGTTTTTTTCGATGCTCAATTTCTCCACTAAAGTCAGCAACAAAAATGTTCATGTTGATGGATGTGAGGGAGCTCCGATTGTCCATCTGGATTTGAAACCCCTTGGCCCCAGTTCACCAAGCATACAGTTGTCCCCAAAGCCAAGAGAGCATTAGATAATCTAGGAATATACTATCCAGTAAAAATGTATTTAGAGACTCAAGAAGAAAATAATCCCAAATCTCTGAACTTGTGATCCAAGCTCTTGCTATTCAGAGTAAAGTTGACATTATTGACTAACGATGTACAGGATATAAACTTCAAACCACCAAAGCCACAAATCTTCACTATGAAAGACAAAAAAAAATCTACTGAAGGTATCTTTTCTTGGGAGTGAAAGGTACATACAAACATAATTTAAAGTTTTAAAGAAATAAAAATGCCACAGGAATAAATATCCTTTTCAGCCAATGCCAAACTCTAGTGCCGTATATCTCTCCAGTGAGTCATGGGTAATGGAATGCACTTCTCAATCAAAACACTGTTTTTTCTTTCTTTATTCCTTTGAATGTGCATTGCTCATAAATTCACTAGACTTAATTTTCAACCTCTTCCACAGAGACACGTATGTATCTCTAAAATCTGTTATTTCTTAAATGTTCTTTATACTTCTGTCTCAACTAAATGGCATTTAGTGAAAAAGCTTAGTTTGATTTTCTCTAATTAGGAAGGGAGAAATTAGACGATATTAAAATGTAGCATTTTCTTATCAATATCCTTCTTCTTTTAAAATAAAAATTCTCATTTTTCTTGGGTCTAACCGCAGGAAGCCACAGAGTCTGTTGGGTTAAACATGTAGGTGCAGGTTATTCTTCAGTTTTGGCTCTTCTGACTTACCGTCTTAGGTCCAAAGCAACCTCTGATGTTGTTCACTTTTTGATTTTGATTGTCCAGCTAGAGAGCCAATTCCAACTCTGCAGATCTTCCTGTAGGTTCAGATCTTTGTAGTCCTGACCTTGAATATGCAATTTACATATGTATTTTTAGGGTGGGCGTGACAGATTTCTGCTGTGTGTTAGACAGCCTCAAACAAACACTGACGTTATAGCTGCTGCTCTTGTGCTACCATCTTCTATATTTCTGTCTGCTTGATGTATATATTAGGAAAACTCTTTGTATTTCTTGGGAGCTCCAGTATCTATCCAAGGTACAAATTCACATTGCAGCAGCTAGCTCTCTAATCAGGACTTTTTGTAGGTAGACGAGAAGGAAGAGTTGTTGGCAGGATTCACTGTGAGCATTCATGCCGTATTAATGTTTTACCTTGCTCAAAGGTGAGAAGCAGGTCAAAGTCCATTATTCTTTGTTTCAAGTTTAGCAGTACCAGGGAGAGAAATACTACTCATGGAAGATCTGGCTAAAAGCAAACTTTCTCTGGACTGCTAAGGTTTAAGGGCTCAACTTGTCCTTTTGGTAACTTGGCGATTGACCCTGAGAGGGATTTGGCCTTGGCATACAGAAATAAAGTGAGGCTTTGCGCCAAATACAAGTAGTAATTAAGTCGTATATTTGTTGGCCTGTTTAAAGCACCTTGGAGCGTTCATTCTTCCAATTAGAGGGTCAATGAGCCGTGCTAGTGATAGTGTTATAGTCAACCTGAGTCATTAGTATTTTTGAACCTACTACAGAGGTAAGTATTTTTGAATCTGCATATAGACAATGAACACAAAAGGTTGCATGTTTCTAGCATTGTCCTTGCTATGGTTCAGTGATGCCCTTCCTTAGAAGGAGCTCCAAAAGTGTTCCTATCACCATGGCTATGTAAACACCACATAATGTTCAGTGCAAGAGATTTAAAGAAGGAGGGATGTCTGCAAGCAACGGAGGGGTAAAGCCCAAAGGGTCAGCAAGGTTGGAGAGGGCACATTACTAGCTGTCTTACAAGGAAATGGAGAAATCCATCACGTTACCTGGTCAGTCAAGTGTCTGATTTGGCTGCCACCAGACTTCTCCTCCAAGCCAGAAATAATATATATCTAAGGAGACCATTGCCCAAGTGAACTCTGACTCTGCAATTAAAATTTGCATTGGGGTGGGTGAAAGGCAGCAGACACACCTTTTTTAAGATATAAAAATTTAAGGTTTTTTTTTAAAAAGAAGATGGAGAAAACCCAAATCTCCATTACTGCCCAGCTACCTACGTGAAAGGAAACAAGGCCCTGGGGAAAGTGTCTGAGGGAAATGTTTGCACCAATACAGCAGTTTAGCAAGGTGATTTTCTTTTTTTTTAATGCCTGTGTCATATGTTTCAGATTGGAGCATCTCTGATGTCGAGCAATGTGGGCAGCGGCTTACTCATTGGCCTGGCGGGCACTGGAGCAGCTGGGGGACTTGCTGTTGGGGGCTTTGAGTGGAATGTAAGAGTCAACTAAGCTGACAACTGAAATATCACTATTTACAATGGGTTTGGGGGTTTCTCTCGAAAATCAGCTGCTAACAGGAGGGGCAACTCCAAGTTCTCAAACCTCAGGAACTGAGACAGCTTTAAAAACATGGCATCTTAATTTTCCTTTAAATGGAAGCCACTTAAATTATTAGCTCTCTGACCTTCCCACAAACACACAGGCCATGTTTTTTAAACTTTAGTCTGCTGTTATAAAGACAAAGATAAAAGATACCGAATGCCAAAAAGGTACTTGGATGATCACAGAATTCTGGGAACAGGGACTTTGAAAAAAGGCATCATGTGCTGCTAAATGCAGTGTAAATCCATGAGAATTGGCAACACTGTATTCACCTGTCGTCTTCTGAAATGTGACATCTCTGGGGTGAACATCTGGGTGCGAAGGCAGGTCTCATTCTGCCCTATTGAAATAGCCTGGAAAAATGCCACTGACACCACACGGAGCACGAAAACTAGGCCCTTTGTGTGTGACGCTAATGAAATTTCTCAGCTGCAGTGATGAGGAGTGAGATTAGTGCCAGCCTCGCAGTACGCATCACTCACCTACCTCTAAATCTCTTGTCTTCATCAGCAGAGACTGCTAATAGTGCCGGATACTTGCCAAGCGCAGGCAGGGCCCACCAAAAGCTCTTTCCTGGGTTATGTATTCACTGCAGCTGTTTTTTCCTAAGCCTTTAAGATCACCTTCAAATGCTCTGTGAAGAAGCCAGAGCCTGCATTCCGGTTGATGCATGTGAAATATGTCAATATTACTGTATTTTAAGTAAATGTATGCAGATCCTTTTAGAAATCCATGAAGACAATAGATTGAATTTTAGGGCAAATGTAACTTCATTAGTTTAGATTCATTTCTTTGAGACTGGAAAGTACGTTAGGATATTCCTTTATTTTTTGCCTGTAGCATGGGACACCACTCAGCTACAGAGATCATGGTCAGATATGGGCATCTTTTACCTAAGCCTTTCTCAGCCGCTACAGGAGCCATAGCTGTTTTCCTCAGTCACTCACAGTTTTTGTCCTCAGGGCTCAGTTTCACTTCTGACAACTTCAATAACTAATCTAAGGACAATCTAACTGATATAAGGTACTTGGACAAAAGGTAATGGCCTGAGACATCCAGGAGGTGGGATTTGATAGTCTAATGGCTTTTATTTAAATTAAAGATCTCCTATTGGGGCTTTTGCTGGGTTTTAGAGAAGAAATACATGATGGGAGATGTCTTTATGCCTTCCAAAAGAGTCTCCACCTGCAGCAAAGCAACTGAACTGCCCTTGATCTGCCTGACACAGAAGCAAAACTCTTTCAGTCTGAAAGGAGAATGTCCCGGTAGAGTCTTGCTGTTGCTTATTTTTATGCTCCACAGGGAGAGTCTGTTGCCTCAGCCTCATCACTTGCTAATCAAGCAACAAACAGATGCTCCCATCCTTCTCTGAATCACTTAACTCTTCATTGCCACAGCAGCAGTGACTGCAAAGGCCAGCAAATACAATATCTCCCTTTAGAGACCCGTAGCAGCAAAATACATCTTGCCAGAGGCACAGAGATGGAACAGAATGTGGCACTCTATGACAAAGCGACAAGGTACTTAGGAGGAAAAGTTCAAAGTTAATAATTACACTGCAGTAATTAATTCATCATCATATCTTCTGAGCAGGGACAAAATCCTATGTGCTTCCCCCAGACTGTTTCCCAGCTATATTGCATAGCACTGCATCCTTTTGCTTCCTCAGGGTGTCCACTGAAAGAAAAGGGGAGATAGACCTTCCAGTGTGTTGAATCACGTGAATTTATTTTCTCTTTCTCATTACCAGGCTACCTGGGCTCTCCTGGCTCTCGGCTGGATCTTTGTGCCTGTTTACATCGCAGCAGGAGTGGTCACTATGCCTGAGTATCTGCAGAAGAGATTTGGAGGGCAGAGGATTCAAATCTACATGTCCGTACTGTCCCTCATTCTCTATATATTCACCAAGATATCCGTATGTATCCAATTGAATGCAATCCTTGTGTCTAGGGCAGGTGCAGAGTTTCCTGGAACAAGGCAGGGCTGCTCAGAGATAACTCAGATGTCCTTGAAAGAACCAGCTCAGCTATCAGAAACAGTATCACTGTGTTAGTGTGCTTCTTGGCTCAAGTAAATACCTGCCTCTGCATTGATCATGGAGACCTACGCCGAGAGAGAGAGAAAGAGAGCCCTCATTAAACAGCAATGCACAGTGAGAACTTTACGGGGGTATGGCAGCTAATTACTAAGCAGTATAAATACATAGCTATCTATCTGACTCCTTTTACACATCCATCAGATCAAACCTTAGGCAATGTAGACAGGGGAACAGCCACAGCAATACCCCATCTAAGGATCTGGCAGGCTGCATGTTGTAGGTGTGAAATTCTCTTAAATTACCGTAAATCTGCATTGTCCTGGTCATTATTTTGATGTTGTTCTTGTAACTGAGTTTTCAACAGTTTTATGGTAACGTATTACAGTTGTTCCTATCTCACTCTGTCTTTTGTGTTGTATAAAAAGGTATGGTGAAAAGAAGATAGTTCTTGCTTAAGACAAAACTCAGCATCCTACCTGGTTTGCTTGTTCCCTGTTGGTAGCATTGTACGCTGCCGGCAGCCGAAAAACAGTGTAAGCTGTTGAGTATTTCCTTTCATTTAAATGTCATGAATGCAGGCGCAGAACTTATGTTCAGAGATTTGATAAGGACTGCCTGTGCTCCTGGAGGGAGAGGACTGTGTTTCGGAATCCATTACAGGGACTGAAAATGTCAGTCCTTTGTTTCCAGCTGATTGCTTCGTGTCCAGTCCAAGTTAGTTTTGACTAAACTCTGTCAAAGTATTTGATGTCAAACTGCCCCGGAAGATGTTGACTGGAGATGCAGCACCCACAAGCCTTCGCAGATGGCAGATGTCTGTGTCTTTCTCCCAGGCTGGCTACATCTCAGGTCCTGGGAGATGTGTTTCAAGGAGCTTAATCCACTCACTAGGCATTCACCCTGGGGGATCTTGAGGAGAAGCAGAGATGTGAACAGGGTGAGAGTGTTGAATAGATTTCCTCCTTAAACAGCCAAGTGCTGATCATGTCACTCATTGCTGCTACCACTGTCTCCAGGTGCTTTGCTCTGCAGGATTGAAGCATTGCCCAAAAGGAGGTCTTGCAAAGAGACATCTGGAGCAGAGTTAGGCACATGTAAGGTAAATGGAAGGTCTTTCCTTCCATAACACAGAACTGTGCACAGCCAGGCGCTCAATAGACGTGTTGAAAAGAGACTAGTCTTTCAATATGACCTTCATCCAGGCAACATTTGTTAATGCCTTTCAGAGTAGGACCCTGGCCCTAGTTACTGTCGTTTCATCTCAGTGGTTTCTGCTCTGTGCAGCTAATTCATATGTGGCTGACGGATGTGGCTGCTGGAGTTTATGGGCAGGACAAGTGCTTTCTATTAGGCACTGCCTTTGTTTGTAGAGAGCTCATTTAGTGACTGGCTGGACAGCAGGCAGTTGGTTACAAGAAGGATATTTCCCCCTGTGCTTTTTGACCAAACATAGGTTGGCAACTAGGGCATTGCAGAGTTCTTCCTGCTTGTAAAGAAGAGCAGAGAGCTGAATAAAGAGCATTGTCATAGGAGTGATCCTTCATGTCTGCAGAGCTCTTTGCATTTCCTCCTAGGAAGTCAAAGGCCAGAATACAGAGTGACTTCTGTAGTGTCCTGATACCAGCACTTCAGAGCGTGTCTCAGGTTGGCGGAGATCAGGAGGTGTAGTGGATGATTGCTTTCAAGGTGCTTATTTAGGGGACATGAAATAGCAACTCTTGCCCCATCCCTTCTATCTCACTTTGCTAATGCTTTTTCCTGTATCTTACCAGGTTTACAGGTGTCCTTCAGGTTAATTTCCCAACACATGCACATCTCCCATATCACCTTCTGCATCTGAAAGATATTTATCTATCTGCATAATTTCAGGGTTCTCTCAGACTCTGATTTCCCTCTCTCTGCTAATAGGCCCAATCAAAGTGAGGCCTATGGGGATTTCTGTATTTCTGGTCAGGCCCTCAGCAGGTATAACCTGTTTTACTGGAGTCATTCCAGCATGCTGAACTGCACAAATAGAAAAGTAGCTTGCTGACCATTTCAGATAAGTAAACCATGGCACAAGATACCAGTGATTCATCAGGGGTCTTTCAGGCTGAGAGTGTCTCCTGGCCATGAGACCACCAGACCACAGTGATGGGAAGAGCCTGGCCTGTGCTACTCGCCCCACTTTCCTCATGAATCTGCCCTGTGGAGACGTGGGCTCAGGCTAAAGGCTCCCAGGACATCGGCTCCACTTTCCCATCTGTCACCTGCTCCCCACAGATCTCTTCACAGTCAGTGAATGGTGTGGCAGTTTCCACCAATACCTCTCTGTGCCAGTGAGAAGGCAACCTTCACATGCCATGAAGGCTGCCTGTAGGATAGTCCTTATTTTGGTAGCTTTGTGGTCCCTTGGAGTGGGACTTTGATTTTTAGTCTTCTGCTGCCCCAGCTCCCAGAAACTTGAGAGCTGTGACCTGGAGGAAAAATATTCTTTACAGTAAGTACAAGAAGCTTCACTACCAGCAGCCCCATGCTCTCTCCTCCTCTTCCACTTCACCTTTATGGTGTTCTCCCTTGTCATTGCTTTCAGCCTCAGAGGGCTGCAGATTGCTCTACTAGATTTCACTTGCATGAAGCACTACTATAGTCAGACTCCCTTTGTTGTTGTTGTTTTTTTTTAATTCCAGACAGACATTTTCTCTGGAGCGTTGTTCATTCAAATCTCTTTGGGCTGGAACCTCTACTTGTCCACTGTGGTCTTGCTAGCAGTGACTGCTGTCTACACTATAGCTGGTAAGTAGTTGACTTTAAAAGAAACACCTTGATCTGGACCCTAAAATATAAGTTTCCCCTTTCCTCTATAGGAGAGAATATTCAGGTCCTGATCCACGGCAAAGATTCCTCTGGTCGTGTGTAGTACCTGCACTGCGGTCCCCAGTTGTAGAACACCTCTGGCTATTCCTCTCCCCTCATCACCCAGTGGGAAATCAGTATTTGGAGAATTTCACTGTTTTCTAGAGAAGTTCTGATACTGCATATGCTTCTGATTCCCCCGGTGCAGATGACGCTGTCCATCTTTGCTCTTTTCTCTTTTTGCAACATTGGCATCTTTAGCTATTAAGATGTGGCTTAGCAGAGCTGTTTTCACTGCCTTCAAGTCCTCTCCTGAATATGTAGAAAGGAGTTAGGCTGTTCCTCACAAGATGGCTTGTGAGAGGTCCTGGGGTCCAGCTGGGTACCAGGTTCTCCTGGGCTGGGGCCAAGGAAAATATTTTCCCAGATGATGTACCTGTTTCTATGTATGTATGTGACCCACTTAACACTGTGCCTCTGTTTCTCCTGACAGGCGGTTTAACAGCTGTAATATACACAGATGCACTGCAGACGGTGATCATGGTGCTGGGAGCTTTGGTGCTCATGTTCATAGGTAAGGGGAACCTGCAGTGGCACCATCCCGAGATCATTGACCTTAACAAAATATTCACTCTGTCACGTATGTCTCAGAAATGGGCTTTAATCATTCACGCAAGTGGTGCTAGCACAACTGGCACTTGTTCTCCTTCCCCAGAAAGTCAGTCTTTCTTCCTCCTTTGCACTAACTGTATGGAGGTGAAGTTCTGTATAACTTCCTCTTGCCTGTTTGGGTTTACCTGGAGTTGCCAAAGAGCTTGCAAAACTTCACCTCCCCTCAGAGACAAATCCTGCTATCACTATACTCTTGTAAATTCAAGGTAATTTAGCTGACTTTCTTTGTTGACTTTGGGAGTTACTGCGGATTCACTTGAATGTAACTAAGCATAAAAGAAAAAACCCCAAAACATAAAACAATAACTGAACATCATCAGTCTTTGCTTTAAGTCTTCTTGGCAAACAAAAATACACATACACCTTGTTTCATTTCAAACCTTCTTGCTCCAGCTCTTGGAGCATATTTGAGCAAAGACCAGATTCTGAGGTCGTCATGGGAATTAGGATCATGGAGATTTTTTTTGCATTGATCCTCTTCCAAGATGCACTGTTAAAACCACAGGCCTCTGAATAAAATCCAGCTGATTCCTGCACAGACCTTGGCTGCCAAAAGCAAGGGTGGAATGAAAAAAGACATGAGGTGAAGGTGGGAGAAAAGAATCATGAGACTCAGATAAAGGAATACCTTTGCAGGAGGCACCAGACCTGAAATCACTGCTGTTTTCTTTTCAGGATTTGAAAAAGTTGGCTGGTATGAAGGACTTAAGGAGAAATACAGCACAGCAATACCAAAGGTCATAGTCCCCAACACAACGTGTCATCTCCCACGTGCGGATGCCTTTCACTTGTTCAGGGACCCAGTCACAGGAGACATTCCTTGGCCTGGCCTTATATTTGGCCTCTCAGTGCTGGCTCTGTGGTGCTGGTGCACTGACCAGGTAAAGGACATCTTCCTCCTCTCTTCAGGCAAAGCAGCGCAGTAGTATTTCCAGGACACTCCTCAGTTTGTGGATCTGTTAGCGGATACGTGTGGTGCAGGAGTTACTGCCTCCATCACTGGACTAGACCAGAATAGCTCATATCTTCCACCTTCTCAGCAAGCTTCTAATTTTGTGCATTTATTAACGTGGGCAAAGTGTGTTATTTTTATCTGTCTTTATCCCACTGTGAGCTGGTGAGTGTCAATGGGTTTTATGCAGTTAGTTAATTTGACAAGGAGGTGAAAGAATTGCCTCCGCAGTGGCTTTGTGTGGAACCCCCAGTTTTCTTATCCCTATCCAAGCTACAAACAAGGCAAAATGTATTTGTTTGTGTTTGTGGTTTAAGGTGAGATAATTACCAAAACCCACGACTGCACTTTTACCGAATCTGCTCCATTCTTTGTCTCTTGCTGTTGTGTGCACTGCCGCACAGCTGCTGTGTCTCCAGTCCTCAAGGTGGCTTCATTTCAGTCAAGGGCGAAATGATTCCTGTAAAGGAAATTTCCACGCTACCCTCTCCGATAGCCTGTGCGCTGAGCGCAGAGCAGTGGCAGCAGGCTGCAGTCAGCCGAGGTGGGAAAGTTGCCACCGGCATGCAAAACACCCTGGGATCCTACCGGATGAAAGTCATCCATGAGAAGGGGAGAGAGGGGATGGATCCTGCTATCTCTGCAGTGCTTCTGTTTTCTCCCTGATGCCTTTCACCCATTGCAGGTGATAGTCCAGAGGTCTCTCTCTGCCAAGAACCTCTCCCATGCCAAAGGTGGATCAGTTCTGGGAGGGTATTTGAAAATCTTCCCAATGTTTTTCATCGTCATGCCAGGAATGATCAGTAGATCTCTTTACCCAGGTAAGCCTTCCTGTGTTCCTCACTGTGGGGCATTACGCCTGTACAAACAATAATCCCACCCAAGCCCTCCAGCACTGTTACTTCAGCAACTCCCATGTCCTAGGAGTCCTGCAAGCATAGTCATATATATTCCTGTTGTGCACTGATGTTCTTATGACCTCCCTCCACCTCTGCTGTTCCCACAGTGGCAGAAATCATTGTGAGCACCCATGTGGCCCTTATTGTGCTGTTGGGGGCATATAGCTCCATGCTGTGGAGCTACATTACATGCATCTATCTATCTGGAGAAGGTCAGTGAGAAAAATAATATGAAACACTGAGGTGGTTCTTCAGGTCCTATGGAGTATGTGCATTAGGTATTTGGTGAGAGGCATAGCAATCTGCAACACAGATTCATGCAATTCCTGGTGGATTTTGCAAGGCAGCTTAAATCTCTCCTCTGGGGAAGAGCAAGAGTTCCCCTCAAGTTGTCTCCCAAAGAGCACTCATTGCTGGTTTCTTTAGAGCACTCTGCCTGGAAAGAATACCCTGGTTAGGAAGACCAGTCTTGGAGGAAAACCAAATTGCTTCTCGCGTCTCTTTCCTAGATTGCCTTAAATAAGAGTAAATCAGCCTGCAACATTCTTGGTAAAGTTCCTACCTACAAACAATACATCATCAAGGATTATAAGTGTTATATCTATATATCTATATATCCAGCAGTGTTATATCTTGTACCTTGAAGAAAATTGCAAAATGTCATCTTGAAATTTCACCTTTATTTTATGACATAAAATGTTCTTCACCTGAACTCACTCTAGTGGCATTTCCATCTATGCCTCTGAATTTAGATTAAGCCACAGAAGGCATCAAGATTTGTTCTCTTGAATTATATGTCCTATAGCTGAACAGGCTTTACACTGACTTCTTACTATTTTCCTGTCTCCAACAGATGAAGTGGGATGCGTGGACCCAAACATCTGTAAAAAGGTCTGTGGAGCTGCAGTGGGTTGTTCTAACATTGCCTACCCTAAACTCGTAATAGAACTCATGCCTGAAGGTAAGGAAACTTTATACATGGGCCATACACCCATGCTTGGTGCTTTATACACCAAGCACTGCATGGTGGGATCAGTCTGCCCTTCTCCATTATAAGGATGAGGACCTTTTTTCCTGCAGTTATTAGCCACTGAGATGATAAAATAATGAGTCTTTTCTTCCACAACATACTGGAATATGTCTACATGTGCGTACACATCTGGTAAGAAAATGGAACGTACCATCTGCAAAAGATGCTGAAAGAAATGAAGCATCTTCTAATTTTTTGGCTGAATTGATTGGTTGGTAGGTTTTTAAGATATATATGTGGTATATGCATTTAAAAAAAGAAAAATCTCAGAGGGTTTTTTTTTATGGGTGCAAGACGTAGGAATTAATACTCCAGGAAGTGCTGGTATCTTGGACTGAACCAGGCCACAGATTAGTCAAGGCTCTAATGCAGCACACACCACTGCTGCTAGAAGGCAAAAGGTCTGCTTCTGCTTTTCCTTCCGTTTTTTTCTCCCAGGGCTCCGGGGTCTGATGATTGCTGTGATGATGGCAGCCCTGATGAGCTCCCTCACTTCCATCTTCAATAGCAGCAGCACTCTCTTCGTTATAGACATCTGGCAGCGGATCCGCAAAAAGGCTTCAGAGCAGGAGCTGATGATTGTGGGCAGGTCCTTACATTTCTTTATGTCTTGTTGCTCTCATCATTTGTTTTGACTGCGGTATTTACGCTCTTCAATTTGGACTCACTGGGAGAACGCTCGTGCCTAAAACATAGAACAGGAACCGCACAGCTGATGAGCTGAGCCTCCCAGCGCTCTGCCTCTGAAATAAGTTATAGTGCCCCTTATGGGCAAGCTGTAGTACTGATTATATCAGGGACACGGAAAGTTCTCTTCCTCATAAGAGAATTTGAGACGCATTCTGCGTGTTTGTGGTGCTTTTCCGCTCTACTCACAAACAGTAAGTTTCACAGCTTTGATGTGAAGTGGGTGAAGGATGCAGGCAATTGCATACTTCATCACTATAAGGTACTGACAGGGAAAGTACCTCTTGTTCAGCAATATGGGGAAACCTCTATAATAGCCAGTGCAAAGATGAAGGAGGGTACTGCACGCACCTGAGACCCCCCAGAAGTAATTTAGTAAGCAGAAAATGCACTGGTATATGACATAAGCACTAGACTGAGCATGTTATCTGCCTGGAAAGAAAGCAGAAAGATTGTTAATGATTATGAACTTCCAGCTCCCTATCTCCATCACATCAAAGGGACAGTACTTTGAAAAACACCTCACAGGAGGGCCCTGTACAGAACCACGATGTCCTCATGGAGCTCCCATGCAACCTAAACGGCAAGTCCCAGCACAGCCCTCTCTGAAATCTATGAAATCAACTCTGGGAACTGATTGAGTTAGCTTTAAAGAGAAGAACAATTTTCTCTTTTCCTATGTACACAAGGAAAATCCTTCTTACGTTCTTGAGAGCAATCTGTGGATTTTTTCTTAGGAAATTCTGAAAGCAGTTGGAAGTGTGATTTGCTGCAAAACTTCATTTTCAGGAGGACTAACACCCTTTTGTTCTCATCTTTCAGAGTCTTTATTCTCATTCTCGTAGTCATCAGTATTCTCTGGATCCCCATCATTCAATCATCCAACAGCGGCAAGCTCTTTGACTACATTCAGTCCATAACCAGCTATCTAGCGCCACCAATCACAGCTCTGTTCATCTTGGCAATCTTCTGCAAGAGGATTAATGAACCTGTAAGTGGAATGTCATCAACCAATTGACACACATATTCGATGTTAACTATAATAAAAAAAAAAATACTCCCATTACCTAGGCTGGGAGCCTCTTTAGACTCAAAGTTGGCCCAGTTAGCGTGACAGTTAGAAAACAGTTTCCTGGCATGCATTAATGGATGTCTCTAGTGCATGGGAGTTTGCTTCCAAGAAGCCCCTGCAATTGATACTTCTTGGCAATCTCTGTTGGAAGCACAAAAGCCAAAGTTGTTCCACCCATCAGGGACGGTATCTCTGGATCTGGCTGGAGGCTTGTTACTAGGAGGAGACTCTTGCATTATCTGTGCTCTATCTGTTCCATGTTCAAAGGCAGAAAGAGAAAATGAGGATTTTTAACTGAAAACATGCTCCTTCGATGTATGTCAATGTGAGATTCCATCAGGCATGAAAGGTTTTAGTCTAAAAAAAGAGTTGTATTTAAAAAAAAAGAAAAAAAATGAAAGAAAACTACAACCAAAGGTAACTTTTGCAGTAACTTCTTTTTTTGTCTATGCTTGTACCTTGTCAGGGTGCTTTCTGGGGCCTCATGGTTGGGCTGACTATTGGTCTCGTTCGGATGATCATGGAATTTATTTACAGCACACCGTCTTGTGGTGAGGAGGATAGAAGACCAGCTGTGCTAAAGGATTTGCACTACCTCTACTTTGCGCTCATCCTCTGTGTCCTCACTGCCATTGTCATTGTCCTTATTAGTCTCTGCACCCCTCCAATCCCTGAAGAAAAGGTAAGTAAGAAAGTGACTTGCAATGGCACCTTTTTCTTAGAGTCCTAGTTTAGTTTCCGAAAATCTCTCTAAAATCTGGCCTTTTCTCTTCCTCCTATGATTGAGGAATGGTGTGTAATGCATATGCTGCAAAGTAGTACCTGTTTCTCAGCTTTTTATTTCCTAAGTCTGATAGTGTTAATACTTCCTGAGGCACTGAGTGCTTGAAATTGAGTGCAAGTTGCCATGCTGCGCCTGGAGCTGGGCAGACACTACAGCCCATCGTAACTACAATAGAAGGGAGAAGAAGAAGGGGGAAGGAGAGGAAATCATATTACAGATGACTGCTGAGGAGGAATTAAATATATCTAATTGTAGCATCTACCCTATTTCAGCAGAGCCAGCATCAATCTTGCAGGCAAACAAGATTAATATCTTCTGCAACATAGGCATTTAGGAAAATAACATTTTGTGCCAATGTGATCTCAATTACATTTAATAACTTTGAGTCAGGCGCAGCTTTCTTTTACTTAACACATTTAAAACAGCACACAATTTGGAGGCTTTATTTAGTAACACCTTAAAGCAACTTTTCCCTTTCCCAAGTTCTAAAGCAGCTGTCAGTATAACAAAACTGCCGTCGTCTTCTGAAGGAAGGTTACTGGGTACATTTAAAAAACATTTTTTTTCTGTCTAACTTCCTAAGGAAGTAAGGGTGATGCCATCATAGTAGGTCTCTCTGCTGCTTCCTCATAGCTTGTGAAGCATGAACCAGGCCCAGCGATGTCTGATTGAACGGCAGTGGTATCAAAGATCCCCAGCTCCTAAAGACTGCATGAAAGCATGTGCTCAGATAGGGAAGAGAAAGAGAGTCTTTGTGCCTGCATTGAGATACAGTCTCAGCTTTTATTAGCTGTCACAGGATCCACATGGGAGCGAGAAATACTGGCAAGGAGGCGCCATTAGTTCTGCTGCTTATAGGATGACTTGTTCACTACCGCTTGGGGGTGGGCAGATGGCTGCCAGCAATTAATTGCTGTGGTTTAATGTGCTCCCACTCATCGGCTGACCTGTGATAACTAAACGTGTATAGCACTCCCTGCTCACAGCAATGGCAAGATAGCATGCATTAGCATAGCACTGGCAAATAGTGAACGTCATACCAATAGTGCGGGAGATGAAGAAACTGGCCATGGAATCTACAGACTTTTTAGTCTGATCTCAGTGGTACAAAAACAATTAAAATGCATTTTAAGAGGTAGGGGGAATAATAAAAGGCATGCAGATCAATGGAAACTGAGACAAAATGCAACATGCATTTACCAAGGCTAGAGTATGCCTGACTAACCTGATTTGCTAAACAAAGGAAGCTTGTTCTATCATATCTAGCTATATTTTAGAAACCATTTTTAATACCACTTGGGATGTGATTAGCTACGCTGGGGAAGATTGGGGTCAGTACAAGAAGTATCTCGCTGGGGGAAGGTACCTATGAATCCCTTCTGGTCTGATGTTATCTAGCCATTTCATTAATAACCGTGTTGCTAGTTCCTCCCAACTTTGTATGATTGTTGTTCTTGATGATGACGATGATGATGACCCAAAATCTCACAAAGGAAGAAGTATAGGAGCTTAAAGTCTAGCTTATTAAATAGGACTGATATTCAATGGACTAAACATGCACTGAGGGGCTAGTAAAAATAAGGGCTGCTACAAGCTGAGAGCTCATCAAGTGGAACTGCCAGAAAACTGGAAAAAAGCCCAGAAAGTGTCTGTTAATGGTGGGATGAGCAACCACTATAATGACATCCAGGAAAAAGAGCTTATGACCATAAGAGATTCCATAGAAGGGACTTTCAGTAGAATAGGTGAGTTAAGAGCTACTGGACTTAAGAGACCTTATTGACATATTTCTCGAATAGCCAATGGTCTTGCAAAAAGATGGGTAAGACTGGTAATGGTCCAGGGAGGATGGCTAACAAGAGGGCCAGGGAGGAGAGCATTTTCTCTGAACGAAAAGTATGTGGTTCTCCCCAGAGAGCAGAGGCCGGAGGTGGCTGCCCCCAAACACACCTTGGAGAGCCAGGGAGGGAGGGGAGGCAGCTAAAGCACAGTGCTGGCCCGAGAGCAAGAGGGATAAAGCTGGCTACGAACAAGTGTAGATTGCACTTTTTAAAGTTTTCTGAAGAGAGGTGTTCAGTGCAGCCTTTTGGTAGGCCATGGATCCCATTAGAGGTAAGCTTGGCACTTGACCTCTGTGTAAGAGATTCTATTCAAGATAATTAATAAGATGATTGCCCATGACAGCAGGATGCTGGACATGGAAACCCAGATGAGTTATCTGATGATGGTGTCTAATGGTGATGGCTATCAATGAGTGACTAATGTCCCATGTGTGGCCCCCCAGTATCTTCCCACCACAGTGAAAATGAGCAAGGCTAGCAATCTGAGCTAGTAAATGGTAATTAATTCCCTCTTTATATGGCTCTGGAGTCTGCCTCTATTAATTCGACTTCTGTTTTAATTTGACTTCCATTGAATTCCTGCTATTTACCCCCAGTTTCAACAAGAAAGATCTGACCTTGTTCCTCAGAGAATAGCCAAAGCAAAGGGGTGTTTTTTAACCTGAGGTAGATGCCAGTATAGCTGGGTTGCTGCCCATCGGGCATGAATCTGAGTGGACAGCATTACAATCAGCATCTTTCATTTTCCCTCAGTCAGACTCACTCCATCTTTCGCCCTGGACATGAGTCAAACTATTATGCATAGTGAAGCAGTTTCCCATGGTGTCCTACTGATGTGCTTTGGCGGTGCTGAGATGCCCCTGCAAACAGGGGTTTTGTCTTTCTCTCAAGTCAGTCTGTGACTGTGCTGAAATGGATGAAGGACAGAGAGGTTGTGGGATGGAAAGGCAGGAGGTAAAAATCAGGATGGATGTGTCAGACTCTAACCCCCTGGGTAGAGACTGGCACATGAACTTAGTGTTTGGCTACTGTCATTGTTGGGTTGCTGTTTATTTTGCCTGCGCGTGGGCAAACTTGTGGTGAAGAGACCTCACGTCCCTCTGATAGTGGCTGGGGGTCTTGGGGGTGTCCTGGGCAAGGCTATCTGGAGATTATTCCTGCCTGGTTGTGGCCTTTATGGACTCCGTGTGCTTGGACAGCTCAGAGCCCCAGATATTCCCCCACAGAAATTGCATGAGGATAGTATTACTGGCTCTTATCTGTGCACCACTTTGAGATATAATGATGAAAGACACCATATAAGACCTAGGAATTATGCTATTTATTTTGTCAAGCAAAAGGAAAAGAAAAACAAGCCACCAAAAAAAAAGTCAAGGAAATATAGTGATAGATCAGACTTCAGCAGATGTAAATCAGCATAGCTCCATTGCCTTCAAAGACCAGGAACAGCTGTTGAGCTCAGTTAGGCTACTTTACACCAGCTGAGGATCTACACTGGACAGCTTTAAATATTGAATCTCAATGCTTTGCAGATAGCAAATAGGCAGAAGGAAAAAAGAGATTTGTATCTGATGTTAGAGAGGTACAGTTAATGTGCCTGGCTTTAAATGAATTACAGTCCAAGAACTGCAAGCTGTAGCATTTTCCCCTGCTGTTTTGGACGCTCTCCCATCCCTGTGGTGATTGATGCTGTGCTGGAAAAAAAGTATGCAAGGAATTTGTTTGGTATGCTCCAGAGTTCATATGTCTTCATTGCAGGTAGTCCATATTGTGTCACGCCGTCCTTGAAAACCCTGCAAAAGAGCTTACAATTAAATTTGAGACTGTGAAGCTGAAACACAACTGTCAGGTGCCAGATGGCATTTTGGAACAGAAGGATTTATTCTAGTTTACAAACAACAAAAGAAAAACTTTGCCGAGTTCTTGCGAACTCCCTTGTCTAAGGAGAATATGGAGGGGAAAAGGGAGAAAAACAGTCCACAAAATAACAGTGTTATGCAAGCAGGTCACCTACCTAGGGATCAGGGCTTAGGTGTGCCTGTCGGGCTGATGGATCAGCAATTCCGGCCGTTGTGCTCCAGAGTCAGGGCTGTTTTCCTAGTGTGCTGAGATCTGTATTCGATGTCTCCCTTAGATACATAACCTAAGGCTGACTACATATGGTAGCCCGCTTTGGCATGCCCAGCTGGCCTGAACCAACACCATGCACTCCTGAGGTGCTGAAACAGGGCAGGCTGAACCTCCCACAGCATTGTTGAGTGCCACTGAGAGCAAAAAGTCGTCAGCTCCTGTGGAAACCAGGCGCTCATAGAGAAGCAAACCAGCCAGTTTGCCCAGCAAACCCCAACCCCAGCTGCACATCTGCATCAACAATGCAGCCCTGGTGGTGTCCTGATGGAAAAATGTCAGTCACCAGCATCTCTTGCGGCACAGTCTTAAAGCATTTGGCAAATGTTCTGCTGTCCCCTCCCCGCCCCAACCACTACTGAAATGAACCTGTGGAGACAGGGGTGACTTGGGTGGAGGGGGAGTCATATGTGCCCCCACTTGGCTCTGCTCATGATGCTGCACGGCCAGAAGCTCTGCAGCACATGAGAGGCACTGCAGGCTGCCAGCAGCAAGCCCAGAGTGAGAGCACGGTGAGAAGCAGCAGGTCTTGAGGGCCGGGCAACTCTGATCACACACAGCCTCCCCTTTGAGTGCTGCACCTGGGAACAGGCCAGCGCCGTCCTCCTCTGCTCCCAGCCCAAGCATTACTGTTCCTTGGTGAGCGCAGACCCCCAAAACCCACTCACCAAGGGGCTGAGTCATCGCCAGAGGAGCTGGGTGGCTCCTCACAGGTGTCACTAGCACCCACGGGGACACAGGACTCCCAGGGCGGTGCCTGTGTGCGACAGCATTTCTAAGGTGCAAGTCAATTATGCTAAAGCAGTTCCCCTGTCAGCAGCTCTCTTTGCTTATTTATTTGCTCACTTGCTTCTAGGCATGCAAAACATGTGCTGGCCCCTTCCTTCCATGCTGTCCCTTTGCTAATTTGTGCCGAGGCAGCATAACATGCTTGTGAGTCATGCTGCCGCTGCCTCCGCAGCCATGCAAAGCTGCCAGCCTGCCCTGGCATGTTGTTCTGGATGATGGCAAAGAGGAGAAAGAGGGACCTCAAGAAATTTACCTGGCCAAAACTCACCCTAGGGAGGGCTAAAGCTGAAGCATGTGTATGAGGCTTCACTGATGACTGCCCATGGGTCTCTCCAGCATTCTGTGGACAAGGGCTTGGGTGCACAGCTGCCACACTTGTGGGCTGCCCCTGCCAGGTGTCTGTGGGGCAAAGAAACACTGAAGAGGGAAAACAGTGAATGAAAGCAGACCTGGCAGCTCATCACTCTGCGCACCCTTGAGGCAGGAGAGCACATCTCAGCTCATAGCATTATAATGGTGCCTAAGCACTGGGAAGGGCATCTCAAGGCATTCGATGGTCTTCTAAGCTCCCTCTGGTTACTAGGTATGTTTGGAAGCAACAACTATTATCCTGAAAGGAGAAAATTGGTATTTTTTGGTGCGTGCTTTCCCAAGTGTTACTAACCATTGCCCTCACTCTGGAGGTGCTGCTCTCCCTCATGACTGAGGGCCTGGCGCTGATAGACTGTGGGTTTGTGAGTACCAGGGACCTCGAGGGTGGTCGCTGGTTTTAGTGACCAGGCTGGCTGCTGTCAAAGAGCCAGGTCCTGGGTGAGTAGATGCTGATATGTAATGAGGTAACTCAGAGGTCTATGCTGCTTTCAGCACCTACCTGGGAATTACTCCCATCTGACAGAGCCTGAGCCCCAGGGAAACTCCAGCACTGGCAGGTTTCACTGCAATGGGAAGAAACAATTATTCCGCAACACATGCACAGAGAGGGAAAAAAATAAAAGAAGTTTCTTGAATTCTTTAGTACCCTGAAACTTTACTATGTTTCAGTGACATTTCCTAAGTGATTTGAAAAAAAGAATCCTTGAGAAAGATGAGGATCATCAAAATCAAAGCAATTTAGCACATCGTGACAAGAAAGATTAGCCCTGCCCAGTGCTCATCTTGGTTGAAAATGATTTAAATAAAGCTATAAATCTTCTGGAAATTATGCAACATTTTATGTCAGCTGGAAACTGCTGCCTAGATTTGTGTGTGTAAAATTCAGAAATTAGACTCACGTTACTTTGTTAGTGACTCATTTGAGACCTTCATTTCCATAGGGGCAGGGCGAGGAGGAACCTTCCTTAAATAAGCTAATGACTTTGCCTGATGTGTGGTCTCCCCGCAGCTTCACTTCCTTGGTGCCATCCTGCGGTTGTGGTGCAGGGTGGGCAGGTGAAGGAGGACACGCTTGGACCATGCCAGCCTCTTACAGGCAGGATTGCTCTATGTGGGCCTTGTTGTCCTGCTCAGCTACATACGGAGGTTAAGAAAACACAGGTGCCACTAAGCTCCTGGGAGGGCCATGGCCAGCTTAAATTCAAGGTTGATCTGTGAACGCCTGGAATAGCACTGGCCACCTTTTCCAGGGTGAGGGCCTCTGCACAAAGGAGAGGTGAGGAGAAAACTGGGAAACCTCATGTTCCCAGAGCAGCTCTCCCAGCATCTCTTCACACATGTGCCCCACAACCAGGGACATGCCTGGCTAACCTGTTTGCTCTCTATCCCTCTGTACAGCTTGCTTGCCTGACGTGGTGGACTAGACACAGCAAAGCACCTGCCATTGACCTTGAAAATTATAAGAATGAAGCAGCACAGATCAACCCGGCTTCTGGAGAGCATGATGTGGCTGAAAATGCAGAGTTGGGTGATAAAGAACGGGAAGGTAGGGTGCCTGGCTATGATTGAACTCACAGGCCTGTCTGGGGGGGGTCTACAGCCAGGATAGGGGCCCCCAAGTCCCTTCAAAGCCTATGACAGGCCGTCCGTTGCATTCACTGGAGTTGTGGCTTGTATTTACAGATGTGCCAGTTGTGGAGAGGAAACAAATGAATGTGTTGTGGCTCTTGGCCTTCAAAACATATCTTGAAGGATTTTACTTTACTTCCCAATCATCTGAATGGCTCAAAAGGGCTGGCCACTCCTGAAAAGCAAAGAAAGCCCACCTTCTTATTATTTCCTTCTTATCCTTAAAGCAGGGTATTTACTCATCCATCCCTGCCTCAGACAGAGTGTTATTTCAGCACTTCAGGCCTGGACAATTAGTAGTGTGATGGACTCCTTGTATGCAGGTCACCAGCCCCTGGCAGGGTGGAGGTCTGTGCCCAGGGCCCTGCGCCCAGCCCTGCTCCTAGGCCTGTGTGTTCCTGACGCTGTGGCAATTTGTCACTTACTTACAGCATGATGTTTGAGGTGAGCCATAGCATAACGGCAGGGATAATGCTAATTCTGTGACAGGCATGGAATGCCCTGTAATCTCAACTTCCAGCACATATGAGTGCCATCCATTCCCATCTTCCAGCATGGCTAGCAATCAAACCATTTACGTATGTGCTAGAGATTCTTCTTCCTTACCCCTATGCTGTCCCTAGTGGATTAACTCACTCAGTGATGTTATAACCTGCACAATCCAAATGGCATCATGGTCCAAAGGGGACCATATTGCACTGGGAGCTCTGCTACTGACTTCTTGGATGCCCCAGGGTAAATCTACAAGCCTCTGTTTTCTCATTTACACTATCCCAATATCCTCTTTCTTACCTGAGGATACAAGCCATGGTTAAAATGCAGACCCAAATTACTTAAGCAGCTGTGTGCCCAGCACAGTGCATTTAATAAGGGGAAAGACAAAGCAACAAATAACCTTAAAGAGTTGTCAGGAAGTAAAAAGAGAGCAAGAGATGCTACATCTGCAAGCTCTTTTCAGAGTGACCAGAGGTTTATTCTGCAAAGCCACTAAAAATTTCAGCTTTTTGATTCTGAGCTTAACCTTCCAAGGTCACAGAGTGGAAACACTCAGAAGAAGGTCACATACACAGGATACATACACAGGATTTTTTTCACTCTTTTCTTTTGCTCATCAATACATAGGATACTGGTACCAATTAAGCCAAACTAGACAGACGTGAAGAATTAAAGGAAGCACTTTTTTTTTTTTTTTTACTTTGGCAACAGGGTAAGTTTGCACTTAAGTTGAATGCAGCTCTTCAGCATTATTTATTATTTCTTATCAATTCCTAGCTCACCTAACTAGCTCATTTTTTTATAAACGAATGTCTTGGTAATTTGGTAATTAGTAATGATGGGAAAGGAAATGCCGAACACAGCAGCTGACAGTTTAATGAGTTTTTTTTTTGGTAACACCTTTTTCAAGGCCTTATGACATTCTACCTTTCAGAGGTTATATTTGGAAAGAACACCCAGTGAAATGCACATAGCGCCAGGCTGACAATTAAAACATATACTTCACCTGGCACATCACGTGTAATAAATAAGCCAGGAGATCTCCAAACAGGCCATCATACTGTCAGGAATTTGTGAAAGTGAATGGAAGCCTGGATGGGGAGGAAGGAGAAACATTCTGTTAATTAACAAATGATCCATGTCACAATCAACTGACAGTAATCAGGCTGTCCTGCAGATGATCCAGGCAGAACTTTGTTTCTCCTCTTCTCTCCTCTCTTCCCATCCTGGCCATCTCGTCCCTCTCCCACACAGGCCTTGCCCTGGGAGTCTCCTCCCATCCAAGGTATATGTCAGGCCCCACGGCAGATTGCCCAATGCACCTCCAAATTGGAGGAGCGCAGGAGGAATCACCAGCTGGAAGATAATACCCATTTTTCTCACCCATTTCTCACAGCAGCCAAGCTTCCCTGTTGGAAAATGCTCTACTTCTGGTTCTGCGGACTATCCACCAGCCCTGTACCCACACTGTCCCAGGAGGAGAGAGCTGCTCTGGAAAGGAAACTCACCAGTATTGAGGAAAAACCCCTGTGGAAGAACATTTGCAATGTTAATGCTATTCTGTTGCTGGCCATTAATGTCTTTTTGTGGGGATATTTTGGCTGAGGGTGGGGAGGCAGCATGTGTCTTTGGTTTCTTTCACTGCTCCTCATCGTCTCCAAGCTGGAGCTGTCAGATGACAGAGATACTTGTAATGGTCCTCGGAGGTGCTGCTAGGCCCTGGCGCAGCCCTTCCCCAGAGGCACTGCTTGCTGGCAATGATTGTGGGGCTTGGTTTCTCCATAATTAAGATGTGGTATGACCAAGACTCAAAGCTGGTCACATCCAGGGTTCAGGGGCTGTGTTGGACAGCATTTGGGTCGATCAGGAGACCTGGGGTCAATTTTAAAGGCTTAGAGCTGAGGCAGAGAGGTTGGCTGCAGCACATCCGCGGGCCTCCCTGCTCACATGCCCTTGCTCTGGGTTGATTTTGCACCACTGGGCTCAGAGGACTGACTGCTGGTTTACTCTGGTCTGGGGAAGGAGATTTAAATACTACATGCTGAATTTACATGGCCAAAATCTGAGTATGGGTATGCTGGATTAGCTAACTCCAGGGACAGCCGTGTCTCCTGCACTCCCTAGCCAAAGCCACGGGTAACAACAGCTGGCTGCCGCTGTCCAGGGACCTGTGTTAGACACCCCCACAACGGCAACAGGGAAAGGGGCTTCACCTGCCCAGATCCCCCTCGGTCCCCCATGTAACAGTGTGTCTTCCTTACAGCAATGTAATCCTATTTATTCATCGGACCAATCCTGCCCCTTAACAGCATTACCAGCAATAAAAGTGCCTTAGTAACAAAGCCAATTTTGACTTCAGATTATTGTGGTTATATATCCTGCATTGACGCACAAAGATCTCAGTGGGACCACATTGTCCTGGCGGTGGTAAGGAAAATAAATGCCTCTCCTTGGCCCAGATTGCCCGGGAGTCTGACCCATCCTGGTAGTATCATGAAATGTAGCGTGGCCGTAACCTTTCAAACCTCCTCCAGACAACAAGGTGGAAGTCCCCACTGTAAATATCTTTGCTAGCTGTTTAGGAAGCTCATCCAGAGAAAGTTAAAAATGCCTACAAGCAATCCAATCCTCTGCTCCAGCATCCTAGGGGCACATCCAAGCCACCAGGCATGGCCTGTGCGAGGAAGTGAGAACATCCAGCAAAGAGCAGCACCACAAAGGTGAAGAAAATTAGTCATGATCCAGCAAAGAGAGGAGTCAAAGGGCTCTGTGCCCACCTGGGACAGGGAGTCCTGGGGGGTCTGGTTTCCTACTTTTGGATCGAGGAGACTGAATTAGCCATGGCAGGATGGATGCAAAGATAAGCAAAAGAATAATTTCTGCCCTGTGTGCACAAGGCTGCACAGACATAGCCCCAGCTGGCCAGGTGCTCCTTGCAGGCAGCCAAAATGGCCAGCTCCCCTCACCGACTGCATGACTGAGCACCTCCCCGACTGCTCCCAGTGCCACTGCTGAAGCTGAGGGTTTTTTCCAGAGGATATATTATATTCAGAGGATTTTTGTTGCTATTGTTATTTTTAGCATCTCTTTGCCCTGGACTTCAAGGCCAGGTTTGTGCACAACGAGGCTTATCCTGCTTTTCAGCTCGGCATCCTGCAAGCAGTGTGATAGCAGCTGCCCTGTGGCCGGTTCATGGCCAGCTGGTCCCCTGGGCGGCTGTGCTTATCACAGAGAGGCGCTTGGGGCTGCGCTTTTCATATTGAAATGAGCTGGGCTTTGGGCTCAGCTGGTGATGCTGCGTGGGCTGCCCTGGCTTCCTCGCCGTTCCGGCACAGAACGTGGCATGTCTTGCTAGACCTAGCCTGGTCCTTTTATTTCCTTTTTTTTTGGTTTGTTTAAAAACATGGGTGTTCGAAGCCTTGGCCTGGAACATTGGCCTGCAAGGATGTTTGCTGCTCCACGGGTGTCAGCTCTGCACAGCGCTTGCAGCGAGGGCTGCGCGTAGGGGCTCAGCACCACGGGCTGGGATGCAGGGATGCAGGACAGGGGCTGTGCTGGCACAGATCAACACTAGCACTTGTTTTTTTTCTAAGAGGAAAAAGTAAATTTCCTTTAAATAAGGGAAATCTCAGCCCTGGTCACCCGCCGGAGAAGGTCACCCGTCTCTCCAGGTAGGAACAGGCACGTGCTGCAAAGCTCGCTTGCTGGCACTGCCACTGTTCAACTGGGAGCAGGTGGTGCCCAAATCAGAGGGTGCCTCAAAAACATTTAGAGGTAATCATGTTACCAGCTGTGATTAATAGCTGGTAAATGTCTAATAATAACGGACACATTTCTAATGCATTTAGAAATACCACGGATCTCACCTCCTTGCCTGGAGCAGAGAGGCACTGAGTACTTCTGAGACACGGAGCCCCTCAGCAGTACTTAGCTCAATGGCTTTATTGGTTTTTTTTGGACCACACACCCTCTAATGCCACGGGAAAAGCAACACAGACTAAGTTGAGGGATAACAAGGCAGTTTTCACACATTTGAGATGAGTTTTTTCAGTAAAAAAAATCCCAATTTTGCAAAGAATGGAACTGAAGTTTCACTCCTCTTTTTTTAAACGGTATGAACGCTTTTGATCTTTGGACACATGATCCTGATCGCTTCCTTTCCCCTTCTCACCCCTTGGACCCAGGAAGATTGTTTCCTTTAAACAAAGCAATGTGTTTTGAGAGATGTGACTTCATCCCTGAGCTTGGCCCACAGAAGGACTGGAGACATCGGCACTGCCAGCTGCAGCCAGCTGTGCACCCAAGAGAAACTGATTTCCTTGGTAGGTTTATTTGACTTACTACTGTGCTTTTAACTACTACAGCAAAACAAAAGAAAAAAATCAGGAGGGGTGGAGGTGGGGGGGAGGGGGCTGAAATGTTTCATTGAAATAGACAAGGCAGCTCCAAACATCTGGACCTTCCCTTGTATTTTCTGCGAAAATATCATATTTAGCCAAAAAAATTAAAACTAAAAATGAGAAAAATACACCTTTCTTTCTGCTGAAGATGGGGTTGGAGGGGCTAGTTTAAAAGATTCAAAACTTTCAAGTTTCAGGCCTAGGGTTTGTGGCCAAGAGAGTGCCTTTGGGAAGCGAGCGCTCGGGTTAGCAGCACAGGGGATCCAAAATCAAGGCCCTTTGGGACGCATGCTGCCACCGGGGAAGGGACAGCTGCTGGAGCCAGCCCCACCGCACCGTGCACGACCTTGTGCTCTTTCCCGTTTGCGTTATCCCTCTTTTTGCTCGCTCTGCACCTTCCATCTCATCTCTCGCCCTCCTTCCTCCTAGAGACCCCGATGTGCAACCCAAAAAAGCAGATGCACTTTTTAAAGCTGGGACAGCTGAAGCCATACAAGTGCTTAACTTGCTGTGGCAGACTCCAGAGGAACCTTTTTAGAGGTAGATGAAGTGGGAATAGCGCAGACCCCAAGGCTCTTGTCAAACACTGTGTGCTGCCACCACTGCAGCCTGACCTGCTTTGCCTTGGGACCAAGCTCCCTGGTGGCATCAGTCAGGCCGCATGCTCCAGATGGCAGAGGGACAGAGAGGATTAGGATTATCTGCAAATCCAGCCCACCCCAAAACAAGGAAGGAGCAAACAAACTAATGAGGTGCAGATGACTTTCCACCAATGACACAAGGAAGCGTACGCAGAAAGTCAGCGCTGAACAAAACCAGAGCTCCAGCCACGGCAGAAGCACCGAGAGCCCGCGTCGGCTTGCTCTGCACTGGCCCTTCTCAGGGAGCATCCTCCCTCTTCACAGCTTGTGATAAATAGCAATATCCTAACAAGAACACATCACTTTCAGGGCTGTAACTGATATACAATTCCATTGGCAGCAGATGTTATTAATGATGCCAATACATATTTTCTTATTAATCTTCCATACTAGGCTTGTGTCTATCTGCAAATGATTATCATTCATTTTCCTGACAAATCTATCAAGATCATTTATTACTGTTCAGCAAAGGATCTTCTTTTAAACAAAGATTAATAACATTGCATTTTATCTGGCTGGCTGAGCCAAAGGAAATGAAATTAACAACGAACCCTATAAACATGTCATCACTTTAATTTACCGGAAAATATTTTAAACTGTTATTTAAAAAAATATACGCTATGGTGGGCACAGTTTATTACAAAAGGAAGAAACGAGACTCCAAACATTTTAGCATGGTGGAGAGTGAGTTAGCAAACAGGGCACCATCTTTCCTCTGCTTCTTTGTGCTCATTTTCTGGGACAAAGCTGGAGCTGCATTCGCAGCCTACTCATCAGCATGGACCAGACAGCCAGCCACCATCCCAAGTGACCTCCTGGGAGTCACCATTTCCTAGTTGAAGAGGGTAAAAGTTGTTTACCACCTACAATCATAAGCTCTCACCCTTGCAGGGAGCATCGCCCTCCCTGTATTCCTATAGTGGAAAACTTAACCCAGGTAAAACTCACAGAGGTCTGAAGAAGGTGGGATATACTGGGCCTGGTAAGAAGGCCTGGTCAACAGAATCCAACACCCTTCCCCACCAGGGGTGCCTATTAGGAAAATAAATAAAACCAGCAGTTTTGCATGGGTTACTTTCCTTTCTTCTGCTCTCTATCTTCTTGCTTTCCCTTCCTTTTGAGAAAAACAATAATAAATAATAAATACACAGAAAAGAATTTATGAGGACCTCCCTCCTACTTTTACTACGAATAATAATGCAAAAAACTAGCTTTAACTATGCTATTGCTTTGATCTGTTCATATACATGGACCTAAATCTTGAGCCTAGTTTTGCTACAGGTGCCCCCACAATGTACCGCCACAGAGATGTTCCCCATTTGCCAGGCTCTGCCTGGGCTGGCACACTGCAGGCAGTGGGAACCCCTCATTCTCCTCCACCTTCCTCTATCTGGAAATTTTCCCACTAACACTGCAGCTCACTTATCCATTTTTCAATGCCCAGTGCTTCCAACGCCGGCATAATCTGTTTTGTTAGTGCGTGCATATATCAAAAATCTCTTTGCAGCCTTGGAAACGGCTCTAAATCCTTAGTCATGGTAAAGACTTTTTTTTTATTTGATCATCCTCCCCTGGACTCTCAGTTAAAATCAAAGTGTTTATCACTGCCCAGATTTCCCTTTCTCCTTTTCCTTGGTGGAGTGGGTGAGAAGGTTGCTTAAAACAATTTGGAGTTATGTATTCAAAGCATTTCTCCTACAGATAATAAAGCCAGCTTCTTACCTTCAGTGGTTTCATCTTATCTTATCCACATACCAGGTTAGGAGCACTGGTCTAAATCCTGGGCAAGAGAAAAATCACCCTGCTAACCTCAAGCTGCAATAGTATTAAACTGACTGCTGGTTAGCTGTACATTTTATCTCTACAAAATGAAGTCTTCTAGATTTGTTTTTAAATTTAAAAATACCAACAATATAGCACATATCTTCAAAAATCCAAAAGAGATACCAAAAGCCTTAATATACCCCAAAACAGGGTTTGGCATGTCTGCCGTTAAAAAGATAATGAGTTAAGAGGAGAAGAAAGTTGGTACTCTTTTTAGGCTATAGCTGTAGCGCCAGTTAATTTGGGGACAATACAAATTGTTCATATATGGCAAGAGTTTAGGTTGTGTGTGTCCAGGCATACAGTTCAGCTGGGCCAAGTTCTGAGCTTCTAAGAAGTTTAACCTATTACTATTTGACTTAGCTTTTATAGGTAGGATTTGGGATCTTTGGCTGAGCGATAACCACAGTGCACATGACAGAATATCCCTGCTTATTTCTTTATCAACCTGACAGCTCAGACGTGTTTCTTTTAGTCAATCCTAGCATACAGACCCAAGCCAAAAAGAAAGCAGAGTTTCTGGATAAGTTGTTCCAGAAATTAAATACTTGTTACATTAAAACAAATTAAATGCTGCACCCTATTTCTACTGTGACTCCATCTCTCTTCAGCTTTCCACTGCTGGGTTTCATCAAGCCTCTTCTGTTATATTAAACAGTTGTTTGTTATGAACTTATACAATGTAAATAAAAATCATAGGCAGTGCGTGCAGAGGAACAGAGCCGTAAAATCATGGAGAGGCAAAAAAGGGGCTAAAGTCAAAAAAAGTGGCAGAAGACAACATGTAGCAGATCCAAATAACCAATTTACATATAATGGGGTACATTATCTTCCCCATTTAGGACCAATGAAGGGTAATGTGGTAGGTATCATCCAACCTCAGTGAATCCCAAATGTCTGGCATGAAAAGTTATTAGTTTCTTTGCCTTGTGCAATATATAAAGGTAAAAAGAGATGTACAAGGTGTTGTGAGGGTGACACAGGGAGCAATAGATAAAAGCGATCCTTTAGCGCAGGTAAAATGTTGGATGTCGCAACAATTCAAGGTTTTTGTATCTCTGAAGCACGTGAATATGGGTGAATAAGCCAATTGCCACTCACTCCCTGAACACAGCGATGCTGCAAAGGTGCCAAAGGCATCCTCCCAGGCTGTGAAAGGCCACAAGAAAATGTCACTGCCTGTTTTTTAGAGGAGTTCAAGAACATGACTTCCTCATCATGCAAATGTAATTCTCTCCCCACTGGAGATGGCCAATCCACTGGGAACACCAAAATAACGATGCTGTTGGAAAAATACTCAGGCAGGAGTCTTTATTGGTGTTGGACATCACTATTCTGAATTTCAGCTGCCATCTGTGGTTATGGTCAGCTGTGGTGCCCCAACCCATCACCCACAGGGCAGACCTTCACAGCTGTCTGATAGAAAGGCACACATCACCATAAAGCTCTTACAGGAGTGCGTGGCAACAAGATAGGCTCCACAGCTTCAGGAGTCCTGGCACTGTCTTGTAGAAGTCCTCAGAGTGAAGGCTGTGAGGTGGTAACACCTACAGAGTTGGAAGTGGCTGATGGGGAGCAGCCTCCATCTCTGCTGCTGAAGCCAAACTAAGGTGCAGAAGGGATTCATGTTCTCTGCCTCAGAAGGAGAGATCATCAGCTCAGTACATTTCATCTGAAACACTCGCTGGATAAAACATATGAAACATGACAGCAGCAAAGACAAGCATACAATTCTGCCTTTTCCCCCACCCCACAAAGTCACACTTCATCTCAACGTCCTGTTCGCTCAGTGAAGCCTTGGAGCCTTGAAACTGTCTAGGAGAGATGAAGAATGCTTCTGTCCTAAAAAAGCTCCTCACCTCAGGAACCGGGCACTCTGCTTGTCTGTTACAGGTGTAAAGCTCTTCAAGTGAGCGAGGTGGTCTGAGGACGTCCAGTGACGCTTTACTTGCTGACCAGAATTCATATATAATGCCTGAAGTCCTTCCTTCCTACCTTCCTTCCTTCCCCTTGTCTCAAATGCAATTTCCAGGACCTCTGCTTGCCTATCTCCATCACAGCCATTTGTACATGGGATGATGTTATTCTAGTAGGTGCCATCTGGTCAAAGGCTGGCACCAAGGTATCAGTGGATCTCTTGTGCCATTCAAGCACAGCCCAAGATTTCATAAGCAAGAACTGAAATATCACGCTGTGCAATATTACAAATAAGCTGTCCAAGAAAGACCAGATGGCACCACTGTGCCAAGGACAAGCAAAGATATTAAGATGTCAGAGTATGAACCAAGTCAGCCTGAGCTACTGAATTTGTGCCATTTCTGAACACTATTCTCAGAAATGAGAAACAAGCTGTCCTATAATACACTGCAGAAATATTCCTGAAAAGTGCACTTCCACAAAGCTCTGTGAACCCAGGATGCTCCCCTAAGGCATCCTAGTCCCACACAAGGAGGAGTGTGCATAAGTGTACATAACAATATATGTGTGTGCAAAACATAACAGCAACTCCACTTGCAGTACTCAATTACTGCTCTACAGTGCTGTCTCTTTTCTCTATTGACTAACATGGGAGTGGGGTAACAGCGCTCAAGATACAGTACTGTGGATGGAGACCATTAGGGGTCACTTTCTAGTTTAGTCTAAGCAAGCAGGGTGTGTTTTTTTTTTTTTTTTTGAGCAAGGGGAGGGGGTGGGAAGAAGGGATCAGGGTAACTATTACAACAAAACATAATTTTTGTTGCATTTGTTCAAAACAGAAATGTTGTTCAAAACATTCAGCTGTGACTCGCTACTGTAGCTTCCACAAAAGAAGCATTCAATTTAATATGTGAGACTCATAACCAACTCACACAGTGCAATAGTTCACATCGGTTAAAAGAAAAAAAATTCTGCTGGAAGCACAGGCAAGTAGCAGTGTCAATTTTTCATTAACCTACAGCCACTGTCTCTACAGACTTACAGCTATAAGTAAGATTGCTGTTATAATTTCTTCTGGTCCCTAAGGGGAGGGGAAAAAACTTCACAAAACTTTTAAGGTCATTAAAAAAAAAAAAACTTAAATTGGAGGTAGTTTCAGTTTACTTTCATATTTCAAAATCAAATCTTAGCTTCAGCCTCACATCAAAGCAGAAATGTCAGTTGCTTTGTTTCTACATCTTCCATGAAAGAAGTTCCAGCTTATACAAGAACTGAATGCCAAGTAAATACACTTTCCCAGGGAACAAAGGCAGCTTTTTGGTTTGTTTTAAACATATGTAAATAGAGTCCCAGGAGCTGATCTGCCTGTCACTTCAACCAGGTTTACACTCATGCCATTCTAGTTGACTGACCCTGGGGTACCTTAGGTCAGAATTGCAAACCTTTCCCTCCCCAGTTCTCCAACCACTCTTTTCAAGCAGCCACTTGAGCCTTTTCCCTCCAGCCTCACACCTCAGCCAGGGGGAAACCGTTGTTTTGCTAGTGAGGTGTTTTTTCTAATAGCTCTAGTTACAAAAATCACAGAAATACTTTGGTCCTCTTTGTCATAGTCAGCTTTCAGCTGGTAAGATCAGTATCTGGCAATATGACTACTATCAATAAACAGTCATGGGCTGTGTTCCCACAAACTGGCAGTATATTAAAAACTGAAAGTACCTTCTGGTTCATGGTTAAGATTACAGGGTGCAGGGAGGGAACAGGAATGCATTGATCAGATAACAAAAAAAGCCATTTTTCTTAACAGGACGGCACCATCAGGCTCATGATGATGAAGGATTTCTCCTTCTTCAGTACCAGGCATTTAAACAGGGAGTCATTTTTCACAAAGCCAGAAGACAACAGAGGAGTACAATTCTCTTGCACTCACATCTCCTGTAACTCACGTTTTTGTATTTAATAAAAGTGGATCAGTGCAAAATTAAGAGCACTTATAATGCCTGTCATCTCCAAATCATCTGGGTTATATCTCAATCTCCAGCACTCATTTTGGGTGTAAGGCTGGGTAGTACTGAGGGATGCATCATTTTATAGGCTATGCATAAGCCACAACCAAAGAAAATCCTCAAAAAGAATACAAAAAGCCTCAATTTTGACTGGCCAACTTAGCATAACTTACTGATAATTCAAATCACTCTGGTATTATTCGCTGTTTTCTTCTCCCTGCTTATTTCATCTCCTGACAAGTTTACAAAGAAAAGAACGGAGTTGAGCTTAGCTGCATTACATCCAATATGCTGCCTACACAAACGCCAGAGAAGCTGAATGAACCCCAGAACATATGGCACTCTGCTGACAGAGCTCAGAAACTGGTTCTGCATGAGCAACAAGGAACATCTTGAAACGCAGAAGACATATGTGTTTTAGGAAGAAGATTGAAGTGTTTCATAATAAAACAGGACAAAGTGAAATACAAGTGCTGTATAAAATTTTAATTAAAAACTGGTTTTACCCCTCAACGTGAATATACAATATGTTTCACAGATGGATTTCATATTTAAGTATTATCCAAACCAAAAACGTAAATGAGACAAAGACTTCAAAAATGGCACAGAGGCTAAAATGTATGTAAACACTAGCTGACTGTGGTGAAAACAAGGCAGGCAGGGAAAGCAACCTCTTAGCAATTGTTTACTACGGGGGTACTGAATGAAACAGTTCATACAACTGCAGTCTTTATAATTACAAAATTAGCTCAACATCTAAAACTTCACGTCAGTGTAACAATACAAATACAAACATTAGAATTTACCACAGTTCAGTAACGTAAATGGTGCTTTTGTTACTTAAACACATATTTATATAAGTTTCACTGCTCGTTTTACACATCCACAATTCCTGGTACGTAAATGCATAAAACATGGAAAGCCATGCATCGAACCACTCACAGATGAAATCTACCCCCTGCTCTCCACCTCCCACCCCTCTTCATATAAAGCAATCTCCGTTCGGTGGTATCAGTTCTACAGGATTACACAAATGCCTGACCACAGGAAAACCAAAAATTGTGCTGTATATCCTCAGGATCAGTACATTCTGATGAACCAAAAGGGACCTTTTTTGTAACTGTGAACTCTCACTTGAAAAGGATAGAAGAAGGCTCAGATCACTACATCTCAGGCTGCAGAGAGCTCGCTGCAGAGTCCAAAGCAATCACACAGAAACGAGTGGAAATACACACGAAGGAAAGGCACCATCTCCACATTGATCAAGCAAAAAGAAGGACTGCAATTCCTCCATGTTGTCATCCAGACAAATTATCACTGCACTTGAGAGAATTTCTCTTTCAAGACAAACACAGGAAACAAACTGTACATCCTTTGGTCAAATGGGTGAAATCAAGCCAGTATCGTTAATAAAAGCAGGTACAGCCTTTACAGAGTTTTGATTGAAGAGACTTTTAATTCCATGGACAAAGTAGTAGAAACCGGTGCAACGGGGTTTGCATTCAATATTCCATTGCATAACAGAAATTGGAATTATTAAACATTCTTGATCACTTCCCACACCATCCGGTTTGTGGAAACCCAAAAGAACCAGGCACCATCACCTAAACCAGGCATCGCTTTTGTCAGTGAGGTAGCTCATTAAGAGCATCCACAGAAGTGCTGTTCACTCTTAGCTTCAGCACAGGTTTACTGGCACGAAGAAGCTAAATGGCTTTCCCTAAGTTTCATTGATTAAAAAGTTTCCCCAAATTCCTTGATTCGTAAACAAATCTCTCTTGAGATTTTCTCAAGCATCCCGATAATGAGCATTTTGCAACCAGGCAAGCAACTGACATTGTGGTTGGCTTTCATATAACTCAGAGATTTCACATTACATGATTTATACAACTGAGTGGCCACAGCTAAAAGGCTAATTTTGTTGCATAGTTCAGTGTTTTAGAAAACAAGTGTTTAGAAACCCCCACAAGTTTCAGAATTAGGAAGACCAGACTCATATAATAATGATTATATGTGGCTATATGTGCAAGGCTATACCTTGCACATGGACTGAAAAAGTGGAGATTCTTTCCAACTTACTTTGACAAGCCTACGGCACAGCACAAAGTTTTCCACTGTCGAGTTATTGCACACATCACTGCATCCCCCACCTATGGGGAGAGGACAAGAACAAATGATCTGATTGATGTTAATAGTGCTGGTTAGTATACATAGTAGAAAGTACTAAGACATTATGATGATAAAAATATAACTTGTATTCAAAAATGTATCATGAGAGCAATCACTATGAATATGGAAGAGCCTGGATCATCCAGGAAATGTAAGCTAAGCAGGATACTCAATGTAAAAATTAACTCCTAAAAGTGCAGGTAGAAAGCAGTTCATTCTTTTTCTCAGTGGAGTCTCTTAGATTTAATACATTTCTATTTTGATGGGATTAAGACTCGTTTGATAGTTGCCTGATTAAAACATAATAAAACTGGGAAAATTAAAATAATACCTTTCTAGTGACCTGGAGATGGGACTTTTCAGCCAGGCTGTCACAAAATAAAATAATTTCTGTAACAACATTCATCTCAAGTTCCCAAAGCACTTTACAGTCATTTAATTAAGCTTCAGAGCACAAACTAGCCATTTCACAGCTGAGGTAACAATGACAGTGAGTTTAGCACAGACTGCTTAATACTGAGCAGAGCTAAAAGTCTGTTATTTTACAGAAATAAAAACAAACAGGTTCCCGACCGTATGGGCAGGCTTCTTTCTCTTCTCACCATTTTTGGCAAATCTCTCAGCAGTAGTAAAATTCACACATGTGATACGCAGTCTGGAAAACAGCCCTGATCACGTTCAAAACTGCTCTGGGTAGTTTGGAGGGTTCAAAGCTGATTTGGGGGTTAAATGTGGCTGCTCATCTTATTGCTACCTGTTCCCATTACTCCATCCATTCCTATGCCTCTTGCCCCTGCTTGACCAGTTAAAGCTTCCCTCCTCCTAGTTGAAAACTTAGATAAGGTAAATCATTACAGAGCTTGACATATTTTACCGCGCAACAGGTCCCAGACTGAGTGATTTCCAAAGCAACTACTATTTAGCAGAGGATCCGGCACGCTACTGAAGACAGCTAGCTTGTTTGTGCAAAGCCATCCCACGATCCCAAACTGAACAAAGTTACTTGTAGCAAAGGGGGAAGGGAGGAAATTATAGGTGGACTCTAACTTATTCAAATGAAAAATATTTAAATACTGTTCTGATTATACTGCATACTGCAAGCAACACCGGAAGCCATAACATTTGGTGAGAATACCCATGGGTTGTAATAACTTGGGGAGGGCAGGAGGAAGAGACAGACTCTACAGAAAACAACACTAATTCTCTCTTAATCTAGCTCATTATTTCTAGATTTGAGTAGGCAGCTTTCCTTTAGGAGGTAAAATGATGATGGTGGAATTACGCCATCCCACTGTCACTAACAGACCACTTTGTGGATGACAGAAGATAAGGAATGAGCACAGAAAATGCTATTTAAAGCTCCACTCAGGAACCTAGAAATTTGCATTTGATAGAAGGGATTTAAATTGTATTAGAAAGCAAGGTGCACTAAACAATTACAGTTTATTACTATGTTGGTTCACTGCCTGAACCTATACTTATCACATACCATGTGGCAAAGGAGCAGCAGCACTCAGTGCACTTGAGCAGCATGCATATTAATAGGAGAGCTAGCTGAGCAAACAGGGAAAGGGCCAAAAGCTTTTAAAAAACAAGTGGCTTGCAGATTTTGTGGACAGACCGGAGTAATTTGGGTCTGAAGTTATATTTCATAGAAAAGTTTTCCATTAACCAAAACGGATTTCCAGCACTGTACTTTGAAGAGAACATGCTTTGCTCTATCACAGCATATAAGCTATGGCATGACTCTGACTCAAGAGAGAAACACATATTCTGCAGCAGCTGATTCAGAAAGACCTTATACACACCCTCTGCCTTAGCAGTCAGATCAGGGCCAAAGATACTTACAGTCTATCTGCTTCACTTGTTGTCATGCCGCACATGGAGGCAACAGAGTGAGAACTTTCCTACTGGTCAAAGTAGTATGACACCACTTCTCACATTGAATTCCCCATATGAAATATAGACTAAAAGACCCATTTATGTAGAAATCACAGGCTGCCATATTTACCATATGCTTACCTTCTTTAGTTAGGGCAACAGAATGAAACATACCCCAGTTGTTCCTCTGGACCCTCCAAAGCGTTACCCTGTTTTTTCACAGTGGCCTCCAACCTTCTTCATCCCCTCCTTGTTTCTTGATTTCCTGGCAACTTGTGTCCTTGGTCATCCATACAAAGAGCTTGAGCATTCAGGCCTTCCCACACATTGAACTAACAGAGATAGAAATCTGCAATGCTGGAGTGCCAGGGAGGGGAAAACTGAACACTGAATACTTCTATGTCACAGAACGAGATTCAGCCAAAGGGGAGCAGCCAACCTTCTGACACTAACTTTTACCAAGCTATGACATTAGGGAGGCCAAATATAGAGAGTATTGAATGAAGGCTAGGGGATGCCATGAGAAGAAATGCAAATCTTGAAGGCGCCAACACATACGGGAAAACCACAGCAACTTTCAGATTTCAATAAATTCACTTTATACCAAAAGCTTGGAAAGAGTCCCTCAGAATGCACTCTGCCTATTCAGGCAGGTTTCTGTATGTCTACTTTCCTTAGCAGCAAGAAGAAAGAAACTATTCCTTTATGGACTAATATAGGGTCACAGGAACAGGGTAATGGACGAATACCAGGTACTGGTGCTGTAATACTCTATGGTCACCATGTCCTCAGCAGCACAGCTTGGACAAGTTTTATTTTTCACTTCTAAAGAAAAAAAAAAAAGTGTACTACTTCTCAATAGTGACTCAACACTTATCTACAGCATAAGACTGAACAACTAATGCCCTTTGAAAGCACTAATGTGCTAAATGGCATCAGGGACAGGAAGTTATCAGTGTTAATCCACTTCAACTGGGTTAACTGTTACAAGGAATAGAAATGTCTATATGCAAGACACCTCCTCTGAGAGTCCCCCTTCCTGAAACAGAAGCACACAGCCTTTCAACGTGCTTTCCCACTAGCATAGCTGCTCACCAACTGCTTTCTCAAATCAATTATGTTGTCTCAGCGTTAAAGGACGGAAGGCGGGGTAGACCAACTTTTTGTTTATCTAGGCATGCTGGCAGGTTACAGTCATATGTTCCGCCATCTGTACTGCCAGCTTTATCCTTTATCCAATCGTAACAGGTAAAATGGCATTGGGGTAACCGAATCTGTTCTCTCAGTCAGAGAAGGAGCCACAATATGCAATTGTTTTTTCCCCATTTTAAAAAGAAGCAGGAGATGGACACTCTTGCCCTTTTAAAAAATTCGGTTTTTCAATAGATGGGCAATTTGCCCTGGTCTGTTAATGTGGGATCTGTTCAATGCAAAGCTGAAAAGGTTCCGTCTCTTGGGAAAGCATTGAACTGCTGATGAACATTTGGTGGCCTTTAGCAAAAAGGATGCAATTTCTGCCAACAGGATCCCAGCAGGCTGGTAAGGATAAGCTCCAAATTAGGTAGGATTGTGATGCAGGGACTTCAGAAGGCCTGAACTGGGTATATGAGCTTGCTGACTAGCTCCAATCCCACCCCCTCATCGCCCTTTTCTTATCTGTATTTTTAAAATTACAAGTATGTTGGCAAATATCATGGTTGCATTCAAGAGAACCTGGAAACTTGCAAGTGCACAGGGTATGTGAAGAACTTCCTTCTGATAAAAAGACTACTGGGCTAGGCAGGTTTCTTTTAAAATGTTACAGTATTAGAAAATTTGTTACTAACGGTGCTTGAAACCTCTTTGAAAGCATGTCTATAGGTCAGTATGTTGCTTTTTCCTTCTGCCTTTCTCAACAATAAACATTCCAAAGGCAATATTCTAAAAAACAATTCCCTCTTTCCCAAAGCAGACACTTTTATATCAACACATACATTCACCCTTCCCCTTTAGACTGCCTCTCTGAACACTAAAACATATTACTTTTTCAACCAATTCTATTTATGTTACTAACTAGTTATAATGATTTTTTAAAAAGTTGACTGCAGCTGAAACCTGACTTGATGTCAGACAAGAATATCCAGCAGAACTATTAGTCTTCAAATGACTATCTTCTGATGTCTGAAAGGAGCGACACAGCTTGATTAACTAGGAAGAAGCTTAGTTTTTGTTTGTTTTTAAGTACTTCCCCATTTGGCAACTCAGGCCCAAAACCCCATAGCTCAGCAACCCTGCCTAAACATAATTACACCTTAAAAATAGAGTACAAATATTTGTTACATAAAAATATTTTCATTAAAAATATGAACACTGTGTACTGTGCATTTCCAGGCAAATTGCTATCACGAATGGGTTTTTTGGTCTGAAAGAGTGCCAGAAGCTTTTTGGTACATGTTTCTGTATATTTTCTCCAGACTGTCTTCAAAGATCGCTCTGTGAGGCTTCCCTTTGTATACAGCTGCATGACTGGACCAATATTCACCATTATCCAAGTGAACAGTGGCGTTCTGCTGCACTGGTGAACTGTTAACACAAAGAGGCAAAGCAATAATCATCAAATCAAGAGAAGTAAGAGGAGTCAGAGCACAAAAACATCAGAAACCCAGAGTAAAGCTGCTAACCACAGATCACCTTTCGCAAATAGAAATAAAAGCTGCACTGCAGCTACTTCTAAGAAACGGGAGCCCCATGTTATTCACTCACACAAATTCTCCCCCACATAACCAAGTGCACTTGATAACGTCTCCTAAATAGAAAGAGAATTGATTTTCAAATAGCATGCACTCATTTTGCTATATTTTGATAGGCAGTGTGACTAGGCACTGAGCCTATGCAATAAAAACACAGTAGGATTTTTGTGTCATTTGAAGGTCAAAATGTAACCATAAGCAGTTATTTCAATATGAAGACAATCTATCTGAGGTATATTAAATTACTGTGGATGCAGCTGTAAAGTGTTCTATTAGAAGCATCTGGGATTAAGTATTCTACATTACAGTGTAACGGCAATCGAGTATTCCTTTCCCACCCCATCTTCTGTGTCACTGTTTTAACACTAAACACAAATAGATTCTCATATTTCTGTTTCTTTGAGAAATTATTATTTCCTAGATCTATGAGGCAAAATTTATTCTTGGAAAACCATTATGAAACACTGCCAGATTTGAAGCATGTATACGCAGACTTCATAACTGTCTGCCTTCTCTCGAACCTTTGAAAGAAAAGGTTGTGCTATATAATGAAATGAGCCATTTTCCTGTAATAAAGCATAAAACTAGATCAAAATTCATAAGCAAAAAATGACTACTGAGGTGACATCTTTCACATCTGCTCAGAGATTGAGACACTTAAAAATTAGGACTGAGTTATCCTCAGCCTTCTGAGAAGGTTCTCAGTCTGGGAAAATAAACTGGAAATGTGAAACTTAATGGTGGCCATCTTCACCTAGGAAATGGTTTAAATTTCAAATGGAAGTTTTACATTTTGTTATATACATACCATCTGTTAATCTAGTATGGTCAAACCAGTTGCTAAACTTTTGTCCTCAAGTTAATATCAGCAAACTCATGACAAAATTGAAAGAATCCTCCCATGAAAGCACTCACATATATGCTTTTAGCTAGCTACAGCAAGACGTAATCAGGTTTTCACTTTAAGAAAGGAAAATGGTGAGGGAAGAAGAGAAAGATGTAGGGACAGTTTTTCAAATTCACATTTCTAAGCCTCCACGGTCCCATGGAAAACAGAAGGAGGAATAGCTTCTGCACTTAGATTTCTTATATTCAAATCACAGAATCACAGAATGGTTGAGATTGGAAGGGACCTCTGGAGATCATCTAGTCCAACCTCCCTGCTCAAGCAGGGTCCTCTAGAGCACGTTGCCCAGGATCACGTCCAGGCAGGTTTTGACTGTCTCCAGGGAAGGAGACTCCACATCCTCTCTGGGCAACCTGTTCCAGTGCTCTGTCACCCTCACAGTCAAGAAGTTTTTTCTCTCAGGTTTAGATGGAACTTCCTGTGGTTCAGTTTCTGCCCGTTGCCTCTTGTCCTGTTGCTGGGCACCACGGAGAAGAGTCTGGCCCCATCCTCTTGACACCCTCCTTTCAGATACTTGTACATGTTGATCAGATCGCCTCTCAGTCTTCTCTTCTCCAGGCTAAACAGGCCCAGCTCTCTCAGCCTTTCTTCATAGGAGAGATGCTCCAGTCCCCTAATCGTCTTTGTAGCCCTAAATACTATGGTGATGCCAATCTCCACCACATGAAACAACAATATCTGTATGAGACTCCAAAATTAAAGATGAAGAAAGGTCACTTTTACACTTTTGAAAAAGTCAAGCCTCAACATTTTAGTTCAGTCAACAGCATGAAGAAAATTTAAATCTGTTTATCATCCTAGACACAGTGAACAGTACCCTACAGTTTGGACACAAAGAAATCAATATATGCAACAGCCAAAATAACAGGAAAGTTATACAGGTCTATGTTAAATGTAGACAGGTCAATACAACTGGACACCATCGGCAACTGAACTTAACTTCTGCTTTCTTTCCACAGCTTGTATCACCTCACTTCTGATAGAGCCTTCTCAGTCCAACAAATAGGCACTGAACTAGGAGACACATTTGTATACAATCTCATGAACAGCTCTGATATACTTTTCTTCAGAATCCACTTCCTACAGTCAGCGTTATGCTTGCACTTTTTTCTACTAAAAGCTTATCTACTTAGAGAAAACCCAAATCCAACAATTTTAACTGCAGTAGGAGGAAAGTATCAAATAATAATAGTAACTTTTGCAAATTCCTTATTCTGTTTCTGACAAAGACTTAAAAGACATACGCTTCATTATCTTTTTGTGTATTTCCATTAGTCAGTCCTTGCACATGAGATACATAGCACTGGTGTGGACAAAGATACAGCCAAGCTAAGGAAGAGTCCTGTCTCAACTGCAGACCATCTGAATATGAGCTAAGCAATCTGGGAATTACACTCACAAATCATATTAACAGCAGGATTTCTGCACGCAACTCCCTGCTCTGAAATACCTGTCATATGCTTTTGTTCTCTCATACATCTCCTTTAGGAGTCCCAGAAGTTCTTTTCTGAGTGAGTCATATACTAAATATTTCACAAAACATGGACCTTTTCTTCACTCCCAGTGGTTTTCAGTCATCTACTTTACTGCCAACATTTGGTCGACAGTACCATGTCCTTCTCTGAACTCTGTCTCTGTCCTTGTATCTTGTTTATGAGCACTGTGGCAAACACTCGGCAGTCAGACTGTCCTTGAGTCCTTATGTGTCTCTCCTTTTTGTGAGCAGGATTAGTGCTGCCAGCCTCTAAACTCAAGGAACTGTCCTTTCCCAACTCGAATGCCACATTTCATACCCCCCCATCATCTCTTGATGCTGCAGTATTAGGATTTGCTTCTTCTTTTCCCATGGTCTTCAGTTTTAGCATCAAAATCCCAAAGCTGCCCCAAAAAGAAAAACTTGCGCTTTCTCTCTCACCAAAACATCCTACACATTTTACTTGCAGAAGCTGTCAGGGCAAAGTACAAAGTAGGAAAGAACACAGGAGTGAATATAGGTAGAGAAATGCTGACAACTTCAGTAGCAACTTCATGCAAATGTGCAAATGTGAAAATCTAAGATTTATTTTATATCTTGTGCAGAGGTGACTACAAATTACAGGAATTAAAAAAAAAAAAAGCCAAAAAAAATTAGTGAACTTAGAGCTTTTTGAATTACCTTCCTGTCAATGGTATACAGTGGTGATTCATGAGGCCGTTGTTACAAAATAATGCATATTTAATTATCAAAAGAAAACCTTTTAAAGTCTCAAATTTAGCACCATAGTTTTAGAATTTTTCTCTCAATATAAGTCAAAATAGAAAAGCCATACAACCCAACAATGTTTTACATTACTTAACATCATTCCTCCAATGAGTACCCAAAGCATTTTATAAAATATGGAGTGCATACATAGAGAATCTCAACAGCAATCCACTTCTACTACAGAGGTTGTCAAAATCAAATCAAACAATACATTTTAAGTAAAATATTAGAATGAAACCCTAATCACACATCTGAAGAGTACCCAGAATAATTAACCTATATAAACCAGACAAAATCTCAGGTTTTCAAGATCTCTGATGAAATATTGCATGCCGAAATGCTAAAGTGTAGTCTATGTTTTTGCTGTATTTTTTAAGATGCTTTCTCTTTTCCAGGCATGTCCTTTGAAAAAAAGGCAAATTACTAAACACATTTAAGCTTATTTTTGCACTTCTAATTTAAAAAGTATAGTCAAATGGTTATTTTTAAGGTTACATATGCACCCTAGTTGGGCTGGAAAAAACCCCAAAACTACCGCCCAAAGATCATTTTCATGACCAAGTCCAGTTCCAAAATCAGGGTTTTATGAAGACTATACTGACACAGTGCCAGACAGCATGAAAGGCATAATTAACTGTATTTTGCTTTTAGGTGAAAAGGCTTGGTAGGACGAACTCCTACCAAAGCCTTTCCTCTGTGCAATGTATTACATAGCTCAAAATAGGAAGTGAAATTTTAAGCTAAATTTAAAGGGCAATACCATGAGTATCACAGTTCTGTACTGGTCAGAGAAAAACTCCATACCTGCTCTGCAGTTCGCTCATGCATAAGGAGGCTTTATGTGAAAATTCTCCTATTTTAGTTAAGTCTTCTTTTGATGAGTTAGTCTCATCCTAAAACAAAACAAAGCAAAAACCAGAAATCAAATTCTCATTACCTTCGTTTCTGATTACAATGATCCCACCTCAAAAAAAACTTTTCTTTCCATTTACTAAAAGACTGTTGAAGTGCTTAGGTTTCTTAGGGGAGAAAAGGAGAAAGTGTAATGAACCAAATGCCACTTATGAACATTTTTAATTAAGTTCACCACAACATAGCTAATAATTTTCAGGTAATAAACTGGAACGAATTTCTTGGCATTGTAGAGCTAAAGAACTATACAGACAACATCAGCCTCAATTATCACCAACAAACATGTGGCATAAATGCTATGAAACCCACTGCTCACTACCTTATTTTGTGTCTTGCAGAAGAGGGAGAAAAGAACCCCAAACTTCCAGGATTCGTTAGCTTTTCATAATGAGCTACTGTTATCCATGTAAGGCACTTTACGAGACAGCAGCATTCAACACATCTAAATAATTTCATTCCACATACAGGGTTGAGAATATGCTTATTCAACTTTAAAAAATATCTGTGATATACCTAATGACCCTTTAGTGGTATTCTTAAGAGTTGCTAGAAAGCACTCTCATCTTCCAAACGCTGTATAGACGTTAATCAACCTACAGTTACCCTTTGAGGTAAGTAAGAAATAAAATACCTCCTTTGCAGTGAGCCAGTTGCTCACCTGAGACAGGATGGTAGGAATTCCATCCATATATGACCATGTTCACTCTACACTGAAGAACACAGCCACTACTTAAGAGACGACACCAAGTGATGCTTTCAGCAGAAGCCAATTGCTATAAGGATTAGGAAACAAAATAATCTTTCATGATATACAAGGAATAACTGGAAAAAGAGACTGCAGTAAAAATAAACAAGCTTTTTTTTTTTTTTAAACACAGAACTGGGAGAGAAGACAATAAATATAATGGCAGATGGCAGTAAGATGCAGAGCAAGCTGAATGGCAGGAGTACAGATGAAGGAAAACCTAACACAATTTATTGTGGTGAACTACAAAGTAATAAGTGTGTTTGTAAACAGGAAAACTCTTCTTCCTTCAGCAGTCACACACTATAAAGCACTGAGTGGAGGAAATGGGGTACAGTGGTAAATAAAACTCTGCAGTATTTGCAAGAGGCAAATTATGTTCTGGAAAGCAGAAAAAGGTGGAAACATTATGATACTGTCAAAATATCATAGTGGAAAGCAACAGTGGACACCCTAAGGAACCTGCAGCACAGTTCCAGTCACACTATTTTTAGAGAGCACTATGGAAACAAAGTTCTGAAAAACACAGCTGGATGCTTCTGGGAATGGTTATTTAGCATTAGGCTCATTGGAATAAAACAGAATAAGAGATACTTTTAAACCTTTAGAAGTTTGGAACAGGCTCCAGACTGGAGCCAAAATCTCTTCTCTGTGGTGCCCAGCAACAGGACAAGAGGCAATGGGCAGAAACTGAACCACAGGAAGTTCCGTCTGAACCTGAGAAAAAACTTCTTCACTGTGAGGGTGACAGAGCATTGGAACAGGTTGCCCAGAGAGGTAGAGGAGTCTCCTTCCCTGGAGATATTCAAAACCCATCTGGATGTGATCCTGGGAAATATGCTCTAGGTGACCCTGCTTGAGCAGGGAGGTTGGACTAGATGATCTCCAGAGGTCCCTTCCAACCTAAACGATTCTGTGTGAAATCTTTACTCATCAAATTAGCAGTGCACTTACTAACTACTCCCTCGCTTTCAAGATGACCTGTGTGTCTCATCCACCCACTGCCTAACTACATAGCCTAGATTTTAGACCTTCTGGGGAAGCACAACACAATCCTCGTGTACTTTACAGTACTCAATGAAAGCACGTCTGACTTTTTTTTTTGGTTTGTTTAACAGGTCAGCTGCTATTACCACAACTTTCACAAGTTAGCGGCACGTGATAATTAAACACTGTGAGATCTTTTTTGTAATATCCTCTTATTCCTTTTGCTCAGTGGAAGAAAATGGACTTATGGTGCTTTTCTAATACTCTTCTGACCCGATCAGTAATTAAGGATCCAAAAGTCCTACCCAATACTCTGATGTCTGGATTTTTCAGGGCAGATACACGAGGTTTTCTGGCAGAAGAGGAATCAGAAAAGCTTCACTTCTAATTATTAATCCCTGTGTGTATTCACCATGCGTTCAGTACTGGAAGTGACCCTGCGTGCTAACAGAAAGCCAACAGAAAGCACCATGCTTTAAGAACTTAACACCATACTCTCAAATTTGTGCTCATTTGTGCAATACTGCAGCAAGAAGTGAAAATCAGCATGTTCAAGTCACTCTAGAGTAGCATAAGATTTCATTCCAATAGTTGCTTTAAGTTATGTTTAAAAAAAAATTAGTAAAATACCAAAAGAAGAAAGCAATGGAGTTCTCTTTTACCCACTATCATATTTCATAGTCATAGACTTTATGACTATACAGAGAGACAGTATAACCAGTCATTCAGCTCTCCTAACAAACTAGTAAATCTTTTATCATAAAGTCTTGGTCTGCTGTTCAAAGGAAGTAGTCAATAACCACTGGAGATAGTTTGTTCTATGCAAACTTTCATTACCTGTTCGTGCTAGACTGTTAGAAATTTCAACCTGCTATCCTAAGTTCATTGAAACATCAGAGGAGGATTTGACAAGATTTGTACCTATTTTGGAGTAGCTGAAACACAGAAAAATATGATAGGCATCTTCTATTTGACGGGTAGCAGCTCACAAGAGATCATAACATTTGTATACAAACTCAGGGAGGTAAAACACATACTATTTCACAGTATTAACATGCATCAGGAAAGGTTTTTCAGGATTTAAAGCAAAAAGAAAGCATAAAAACTAAGCTAAAAATAAAGACTTGACAGAAAACAAGAAAATAAACAGATTAAGAGTGCCTACAGGTGTCACAAGGAGCTGCCCAGAATGGCTGTATTTGATGGTGGCGGTGGTGGGGTGTCGAGATTTCAGGTCAAAGACAGATATTCTTCAGTACATCTTTCAGCAGTGGATTAAGACAAGAACCTTCATTTTCTGCCCCAGTCCTCTGCCAAGGGCTTACTGTAGCCACTGGAGTCACTGCATCCCAAACGGCACAGTTCATACTCCAGCATATTAGCGTTACACCTACCTTCTCTGTGCTGAAGTGGGAAGCAAGGAGGTCAGGGCTCGCATACTTTTGTCACATTTTCCACAGACACAGTAAATTCTGGCAGAGGGATAAGATGGGCCACTGGGAGCAGCAGTAACTTTAAATTGCAGCAAAATTTGAAAGTGGATTTCTGTCAACACTCCTTTTCCAAGAGAAATCAAAGCAAACGAGATGTCTGTCTTTCTCCACTAAGAGATTTGTGTCTCTTCTAACTGATCAGTAACATCAGCCTGTTAAGACTTCTAGCAAAAATAACTTCATCAGAGCTCTTTATCTTAACCTTACCTACTCTAACTCTTGTATACTTTTATCTTACCTCTATTTTACGTCATCTCATATGTGAGAACTTAAGTTTTTGCAGACGGACAATCCTGTCATTCAGTTTGTACAATGCTTTTCCCAGGGAGATCCTGTGCCACAACTGGGATTTTTAGCACCACAGTAACAAAAACTGTTATCTGACTAAAACTGCACTTCAAAATTCCATCAGACTCAAGGACAAAATGTTCAGACCCAGGGCATAATCTTATAAGATAAAAAGCTCTGCTCATTGAAAGCCGGGTAATTAAGAAAAAAAAAAAGCACACATCTGAAGAATAATATTAGCTCTACAAACAGCTGGACACCAGCAGCTGGTGATGTGCAGCTGCACAACGTGTTATGCCCTTGATGTTCTACAGATCAGAAACATATTTTTTTTTCCTTAAGTTGAAAGCAGGGGACCCAAATTTAAAAAATAATTTAATCACCTTCAATATCTCGTGAGAGGGTTACCCGTACCACCTGCCCACAAAGGCTGCATAAGATGGCTACCGAAATCAGTGTGAAACAGTTCAGTTTGTATACCAAATCCACACTTCTACACTCAAGACTGCCTCGAAACACAACAATATAGTAAAATCAAGTCTGTAGCCACAATTCTCTTCCTCAGCCATCTTGGGGAAAAATAAGGAGTTAGTTTGTGGTCAAACTTACAAATATTAGACGCTGTCTAGCACTGTGTGTCCTTAAAATATTTTTCACTCGTTTATGGATCTCATCTCCATTTGCTGGTGTAGGCCAACCAGAGTTAAACCTGAAAGAGGAAGAGAGAAAATAAACCAACAGAAGAAATAGTTCCTTGTTAAAGCTTTTGATTCTGATTTTTTTTTTTTTAATTATGAAGCACGCATTGCTTCCTTCTATTTGGAACATATACAATGTTTAGATTCGATTCTTTCTCTCCTCTGGAGCACAACTAAAGAAAGATTTCAAAGCCATGCATAAACAATATGCATTCACAGTCCCAACACAAGATACAAAGCAGACAGAATGTTGATAATTTTGTAACTGAATATTTCTGTAATGTTTGTATTCTCTCTACAGAATAGAAAAGCTATGCATTTATTCTATTCCCAGTGATCAGGTTGCATTTTTCTCTTTTTAAAGGAAGTACTACACACATGAAATCATTTCCACCGGGCTAAACCAACAGGAAGATAACTCCAACATGTGCAAATTGGAAAAATCCATGGAGTTCAAAACCTGCAAATTCACAATCTTTCCTAAACACAAAAGTAGTGCAAATTTCACAAGACAGAACTGGATTTTAAGTTGCTTTTTTACATTAAAAGCAAGGTAGCTCGCTTGATACGTGTCACTAAAAAACTCTGGATTTATTCTTTCATGTTTTACAGCACAATTCTTCCAGTTTACACAGGAAAATTCTCATCTTTCTCATTAAGCTCAGAAGCTGGCAGAAATTTTTATGTCGATACTTATTCTCAGACTGCTAAGGAAGGCAGATAACATTTTAAGGATAGGATTATTTACACACCAACCTCCATATTTCAGTACATTCAAAAATACATTAGTAGAAAGGTGTAAGACTAAGGCGAAGCAAGAATTCACTGAGGAACAGGTATGAGATTGTGTAAAAAAAAAAAAAAAATCATCAGAATCACAGAAACAAGACACCTGATGTGGTATCATGCTCATGCAAAAATGGGCTATCAGCAGAGCTGCAAGCTGTAGAGCTGCTGCAGACCTCTGCAATTTGAGCTAATGGAATGCTGCATCTAGCAGCAGCGCGGGGCTGCCATGCTCTGGGAGGACTGGAAGCACAGGAACAGAGACATGCTTTGATAGCTGGCATCATGAATTTGATGCAGCAGAGAAATTTCATGACTCTGAATCCTGAGATTCTGCACTGGGCTCTGGATAGTTTTGAGAGACTGTAAGCCCTTCTGCCCTTTTCTGTCCTCTGGCTACCATTGCCCGTTGTCACATTCCCTGCACTATCCAGTCTCTCTCTCTACAATTCCCAATGTGATTGCAAGATGCTAAATTCATCCTCATCAAACTTCTAGAAATTTTGGCCAAAACAACACAGCTTCTTACAGAAGAAAAAGAACCAAGTGCACACATAAACCTTCAGTCCAAAACAAGTAACCTGGCAAAGTTAAAAGTAACCAAAAACAGGGTCTTGAAAACGGGAAGCGCCAAGCTGCCTTAATGGTTACAGACAGGGCTGGGAGCAGCTCCCAGTCTTTTGTATCATTACTTCTATTATAAGAGAGAGAAAAAGATACAGCAGAAATTTACTCAGAAGCAGAGAGCTGATAACTTTCTTCTGTTTTCCTGTATCCGCCTAACTTATTTGAAATTACTTCTTATTGTTTACCTCTCCCAAAATCTATCTTTGTTCTAAACAGCCCCAGTATTTTCAGCCTATCTACAGGTTTTCTTACATCAAATGACCCATTTCTGAATGCTTCTATTTTTTTTTTCCATGAACAGGTGCCAGGAAACCACACAATATTGGAGGGATGAATCATATAACCTATAGGGAGATGTATTTTCCATATTTCTAATTATATTTAACATTGTTTATCTTTGTTCCATCACTGCACACCAGGCAAGGATTTTCACAACGTTTGCTACAAGGACACAGATATCAGCATCCTGAATATCTACAATTCATTTACAATATCTACAATTCAATAGCATGAATAAGAAATCCATATTATTCAGTTCTTTTGCCTGCTAGAATCTAAAAATCTGTTACGTTACAAGAACTCAAATAACTTTTCCTAAAAGAAAGCAAGTATTTTGTGAATTTGGTTTGGAGGCGGAAGAGGGGAGGGTTTGCCATTAAAAAGGTAGAAGTCTAGGACACTTAAGCAGGCAGGATCATTCCTTTCCCTAACACAGTTGAACCCATATGATATATTGCATTACAATGCATGCACTGTATCACTAGCAGTATGCTGAATAAAAACCTGCAGTCCTGCTAAAATACCCTGCTTAGAATGAATCAGATCAGGCAGGGGTTGAAAACAATTTATAACAAAAGAAGAGGTACGGAAAAAGGGGTTGGAGTGGTACTGACATCTTACAACTTCCCATTAGCATTTACAGGCACCAATATTAAAGAACTTCTGCAATGCATGTTTAAAGCCTACATTCTAGATGCAGTAATAGTGGGTCGTTTCTCATTTAACAAATAAAAAATAGACCAATGAAAGCTTGGCATTTCCTCTTATTTATACAGCAGCTGCTGTTCTTCTACCATCCAGGTTACTGGCACTGAGAAGAGAAGTTAGAATAGATTGCCTCTGGGAAATAAATTTTATGAAATTCGTATGTAAGATTTTAGATCATTGCTATTAATCTTAAATTCACAAATATCCTTGGAGACAAATGTATTTGCTTTTATAAAAAGGAAAACCCAGCTTGCTATTGTATTCAATTATAGAATACATGGCTACGTCTACAAGAAGATTTAAGTATTTAATTCAAGAACTATTAGGGGGTTTCTTTCTTCAGGTGATTTTATTAATCAATCCACTAGTGTGCGCTGTGGTATAAGAAATGTTACCCACTCACACATATCCCAAACTTAACATAGAAAAAAGAGAGACAGAGAGAGAGAGAGAGAGAGAGAGAGAGAGAGAGAGAGAGAGAGCGAGCGCGAGATCAAAACCTTAAGTAAGATTAAAATAGTATCAGTTTATTTTTAATTACTTTTGCTAGTATCGTTATTGTCTAATTTTAGTAATAACTATAAAGTCTAATCCACATTCTAAGTCATAACATTAATATTTACACCAACCAAGACTCAAACTAAAATAAAATGATGCCTGAAATGTAATATCCATAATCTGAAGTGAAATCATTTCATGACAGGCTAACTCTCGTATTGGAGATGTTTTATAAAATAGGCCTTTGAGTACAGCTTCTTAAACTATAAATAAAGGTTTTTCATTTGCCAGTAATATATTTTAAAACAACTAGCTACTTACATACGTGATTAACGTGTCAGTATTGTATTGCAGTGTTGAAAGAAAAGTCATTTCACTTCAATGACTGTTTGTCCTGATAAACAAAATTAACTTCTACAGCTGTATTCTTTGTCATACTTTCAATTTTCCCTGGGACTCACAAACATTCTGCAGTTACATCAGTTTAAATTGTTTATTGATTCCAATAGATTGTATAAACACTTTGGAAATATAGCTCAGTGACCTAGAAAAAGCCAGATCAATCAGAGAACTTCTCAAGATTAATTTCAAAGATGTTGTGTCGAGTATGATCAAGGAAACAGAACCATTTTCCCTTGTAATATGACTAAAGACATTTATTTTCTTTTATGAGATAAGGATTTTTTAAGGTCACGCAGACATCATCTACCTTGATGGGAAAAAAGAAGCCAAGCACAGTCTAGATCCTGTGCTAAAGATTGAAGTTATTTTCGTATATAATTTTATCTATTAGGATGAAATAGTCCATTACAAATACAAACAGAGGATACATCTATCCACATAGTCCAGTCAAACAGCAGCTTGTGAACTTGAGAGCTGTAGCAAATAGGAATTTTCAAATGTCAGACAATCCAATCATACACTTGCACACAGCAAAAATGTTAATATCACATTGCAGCAGCAGATATTAATACTTTTTTTTTCATCAGTAGAATTAATGCAAGTCTACTGAAGAATATTTGCAATGCCTAACATGACCCCCTCCCCACCATCACACTTCCCAGCCTTGTGAACAACTCTGTGCATGTGGCCTACATGAAGAATTCATCAGCTTCAAAGACGCAGACTTCACGCTGCGCAAAACCACATACAAGGACAAACTGTCACAGGACAGAAATCAATGAAGCACGGTAGTACCACATTCACAATTGGAGAGAACGCTCCGCCTGTAATTGGGAGGAAAGGGGAAGAGGGAGGACGAAATAACTCTTAGGCTAAATATAACCTGAAAAACACAATCTACAAGACCTTACACATGGAACAAGAGAAACTCGCAAGGAAACTAAACATATTTAATTCTGAAATTGAAAAAGAAATCACAGATTTTATATCCAAGCAGGCATTTAAGCAGAATTCACATTAAGTGGAGAAGCTACTTTGTTCTCACTTAACAGGTCATGAAATGGTAATTCAGTAAGATGAAATGTGTTATCAGTATATACTGGTATATATGGAGGCACAATAAAAAGGCTGGACTACACTTAAGAGTTCTACTGGTCTGTTTAGTAAATAGTAATTTTTTTTTATTTTATTTTATTTTTTTTTAAGGACTGCTGATAATAAACCTTGGCATAGATGCAGCTTTACCAGTGCAAAATTGTTTTAGAGACTATATTGGTACATATAATAAAATATATGTAATAAAAACATGCCAACACAAACATCCTTACATTCTTACAGTATTTGCGCTGCAGGAAGTATGCAGCTTTCACTGTACCAGGATACTACAGTGAAAGAGAACAATCACACACGGACAAGGCCTTAAGTGATGGCTTCAGGGTCTAAACATTTGAAAGCAGTAGCTGGCAGCTTACTTGTGTATCCAATTGCTCTCCCTCTTCAGTAAGAAAAACAAAAAAAAAAGTAAAAGTACCTCAACCTTTCTAGTTTCTCTTACTTTCAAAAGCCCTGCTTAGAGCTAGGCCCTGAAGCACTAGAGACATGTTCGGAGCAGAGTTCCCCTACTGAGCTTCCTATCGAGGCCTTAAAATGGGGCAAGCAGAATGAAAAAGACGACCAAGGAGTTCAAAAGGGTCCTTTTATGCCCCACCACCTGCTCCCTAAGTGGAATCAAAGAATAAATTATCCTCAGGTAAAAAAGTGCATTCCAAGTAGCAGACAACTTCTAAGATTTCAGGGAAGGCCCAGTACTCTAGCTGGGCCATTCTCCAACAAAGCAGCCCTCAAGACATTCTAGTAACTACATCATTACCTAATTTGTGTCATAAATGGGCTACACTTTCTTATCCTCTTTGGAAGCTTTTCCATTGCCCCATCTTCTCTGAATTTCTGAATTAATTCTCTCATTTATATACAGAACAATTTTGACAATAATCACTTTCAAATTTACCTCCCTGCGGCAGCAAAATCAACCGATTAGATGACAAATAATACAGAAGTTGGTCAAAGATGACAAATAACGTAGCAGTTGGTCAAAAATACGAAGCAAGGCTTATGTGCTGCTTAGTCTTTGCATTATATGATATGAGATAAGTGATCTTCAAGGGCTAATTCCAGAGGCCAACTTAGCAAATGCAAAATAAGTAAACTTCCCCAAGAGGTGACATAGATAACAAACCCCAAAGATTTAAGAACAACCTTACTACCAAAATTTGCTTGACAAAGATCAGAAATAATTAGTTTTAAACAGTTAGAATCAGGCAGGAAACCTAGTTGCAGCCTCTCCCTAGAGCAAGCTATTTTCTAAAAAGCCTGCTAAATTTTTCAGTGCTCTACTTCCTAGTAGAAGGCTCTCAAAACATAGTTGCATAATCTCACAGAAGTAGAATAAGCCCTATCCTAGGATACATTCCACTTTCCAAAATATTCGGTGAATTACTTGCGGCTTAGATATTGCTGTGTGACAAAACGAAAACCCAGTATCCTGGGGTAACATCTCAAGATCACTGAAGCGAAAGCTTTGATAACTATCATTTTCAAGGACTTCACACAGGAGCTAATCTTTTATTAGTAATATCTACCTTTATGTTGATATTCTCCTCGAACCTGGAGAAGGATATAAGGCAGAAAGATGGTAGTAAAACAGTATAGGAATGCTACAGAAGGGCATCTGATCCAGATGGGCAACCTCTGTCTTACTTCTAATGAAGATTAAGATTTGTGTTAAATTTTGTAGATGAGACTACACTGCGGGAGCTTCGACAGGAAAAAAAATCAAAAAGACATCAAGAGGGTCTTCACTCTGAGAGTGATTACTCTGCAAATCAATAATAAAAAACAAAAACAAATCCTGCCATGTCCAGAGTAGGAAAAAGAATCCCTTGATCCCAAATGCATGATAAGTAGCTTTGCCTCTCAGCATAACAAAAATGGCCAAATACTTCTATGATTGCTGTAAGCTCTTGAGAAAAGCATTTCTCTTGTGCCAGCAGATAGCTCAATTCAGGGAACTTCTGTCCTTAGCTTAAAGAATCCACTTCACTGTTTCACCTTTTCTGTACAAGAGAATGACTTCAGCTTGGTATTTTCCTTCAGGTTTCAATACCACAAGGAAGGCTTAGCTTACAAATCCCCAGGAACAAACACTGCATTCCAGGAGAGCATGAAGATGTACATGCACTAAGAAAGCAAGGGCTGGACTTGAATTTTGTTTTCCTGCAGCAGTGCAGAGAAATTTCAGTTCTAATGCTCTTTCTCAAAACATAAAAGATACTTACCTATACATAAACGACCAGCCAGGCTTCAGGAACATTTTAACTGCACTGACTTAACAGCCAGACACCATGGACAGGAGCTAAAGAGTGTGCTTGTACCACAGCACTGTATAAGAGCTAGATTCACAATGGGAAGTAGCACAGCCACACGACTACGTCTCGTGTCAGTCTTGCCACATAGACCTTTCCCAGGTGACCTAAAAAATGAAAAACCTAAAAATAAAATGTAAAATAAACACTCTAAACTTTGCTACCTAGCAGGCTGGCAGAAAGGGACTGGAAACTGCTAAAAAGGATGCAGAAGGGCTCGCAGGACTTATGCAAGACCCCATTTTCCACAACACTGAAAGGTATTGCAATGGCTTACCAACTCTTCAGCAGGGCTCTGGGGAAGAACTCTCAATAAGGCAGACGCTCACTTCACATTACTTTTTTTAAAAAAGGAAAAAAGGGAATTCAAGGGAGTGGGGGAGGGAGAGTAAAGTTTTATTTTGACTGTAGGTTGATTAGCATTAAAAATCTGCCTGGATATGCAAAGCTGTTTATCTTTGTAATTCAAAATAAAGTGCAGAAAATAACATGCAAATCACCGAGAGATAAGACACTGCAGTCTTGTAAATACACTAACATTGTTACACTTTCAGTAGTACTGATTTTCCCTGTATTCTTATAATCTGAACAGCAGCATTTGCCTGCATTTCCAAACACTGACCTCTGATCCATGTTTGTCATTCCAACTATAATTCTCAGTATAGAGGCAACTAAAGCAATCATTTTTTCAGTAGTACGAACATACAGATCAAATTTATTAGACTGTGCCCTTTACTTCCTTATTTTGAAATCTTGCTGATGACAAAAGTAAACGCTTACATCTTTAATATAAAAAAGATGTTACATCTCTACAGAGCTGAGAGCATTTGTTCTAATAAGAAGAAAAAGCATAATTTCACAAGATCACAAATCACTTCTGGAGAGGGGCTGGTAAAGAGAAAGAGCAAGAACATTCAGATGATTTCAAGATTAACTGGCAGATGACTAAATTACTATGCATATAACA